GGAGCTTCCCACTCGTACCAAGAAATCCTTATTTAGATGAAGTTTCTTTAAGTGCTAGTGCCTGCTCTGCAATGCAATGAGTATATATGAAATAGAACTTTTTATTGAACCCGCTATTTCTATAATCAAAAGTAATGGTGTAGAGTGGAGGTTCCCACTCATACCATAAAGCCAGTGTAAATTCTATTGTCCAGTACTTGTAAAATCTATCTTCAATACACAATTAAAATATCCAGAAAGGTAAAATCTTATTGCACAGAGTTGTCTCACTAAAATTTAGGCATTTATCTGATAAAAACGTTCGATAAGATACACAAAAATGTCTAATTAAAATAACTTTGCTCTAGAATGGATGATTAAAATAATTTTGTACATTAAAAGTCACCCAAGTATGAACTGGTGTAGAGTGGAGGTTCCCACTCATACCATAAAGTTTCTTGTAGTATAAGGTAGGAATGGTGTAGAGTGGAGGTTCCCACTCATACCAATAAGCAGTAAAATATAGTTGCCTGCTAATCTAATTTCTTGTCCAGCAGTCCTTACGCATTTGAATTTTTAATTTCTTTAACCAAACTTTAGATAAGAGCCTATCTGGATGTATACCGTCTCTATAGAGGTCTAAATTATATTGAAATCTTGGTACAGAGCTTGTGTTGTGACAAGTTAGTCTGCTTGGGTTGTGTAGTATGTCCAAGTTGAAATTTGGTGTAACGGAGTTAATTGAAGTATTTAGCTCTTTAATTTCAAAGTTAAGTTTATCAATTTGATGCCTAAGATCAATGTCCTGATCGTTGAAAGTTGCCGGGTCTTTGTGTTTTTTATATTGGTTCCAAAGTGAGATACTATAGATAGGAATACTCAGGAAGGTGACTCTAGATGTAGTATATGAAGAGAGTATTTTAACTATCTCTCTATATTGGTCAACAATGTTTTCAACAGCGGTATTGTCTGAAGAAGTAAGAGAGATCCTGCCCTTGTTGTCTGTTATGGACGTTAGGTCACAAGTACCTAGCCAGATATATATATGGATGGGGCCAAGATGTTGAATTTTATCTTCTATATTGTCACGCAGCCAGGCAACCCTTTCTGCTGATTTCGCTCCTCTCTTTACCCACCACCTTATGTGGTCTATTGCAGATGAGTCAGACTGGTTTTGAAGGTAAATACCTTTGCTGTCTGATAATACCACTGGGGTACGGAATTTTACCCCCCCTCTCTGGACTCACTGACTTCCTTAAATATTTTCTGAGCTTATTCTCGGTCATAAATAATATTGATGAAGTTATTTAAGCAAGTTATTTAAGCAAGTATATATAGATGTAGGCGGCTATACAAAGCAACAGTGAGGCGGACAATATTTAGTCTCGGTGAGAATACAGAGTCAGAGAAAAGACAAGTGTCAAATATTAAAAATATGTGTTAAAATGCACACGCAGATATATTTCAAGCAAAATGAATGATGATTATAGCTGTATATGGTATCGATGGCTAATGATGGCTATACATTTTAGATATTTTTCAATATTGGTTGCAACACTCAGTCAAAGCGCGCGAAAAGCCAATGCGTTAAAATTGCATCAAAATGACTAAAATATGTTATGTTTAACGACAAACGATCAATGTCTATTTACAGCAATACTAAATTATCAAAATTTCAATGTTATACGAGAAAACACAAGTCAATATATATAGGTAAATCGTTTTCTTCTGTGACAGTCAAAATCCACAACCATTCCCTTCACCGGATATGTACCATTGCTATGCCTTGGGCTTTAAATCTTCATAAAACATGACCAAGTATTGTCTAACCTTTACGTAAATATTTCTTTTCGATTTTAAACTTTTCCCGATTACCTTTTTTTTTCTTTTGAATGAAGATTACGATGTTCTAAAATATAGCTGACCGATGTTTTTCATTGGTGTTTGTTGTTTTGTTTATCAATTATTATAGAGCAATGTTTAGTGCATGTCCATTTGTTTGATTTACTGTTAATCAATACGCATGTACGTAAAGGCAGCAGACGATTTGTGTACGACCACGTGTCGTGTGATTTTAAAATGGGAAGTTATTTCTTGTGAATTTATTTGCCACAAAAAAAACTAAAGTAGACAGTTCAAGTAGCATATTTGTTGATTTACAAATCTGATTTTATGTGTACACCAAGTTGTTGTAAGAAGGCTACTTTTAAATGACATTTATAACCCGAAAGACGAGATCGTGTGTCTGTTTGTTTTATTATGTAATAAACCACAGGTACTCTGGTGGGCAGTTGATATAATTAGGTCTTTCCACTTTTCTGTGGAAAGACCTATTGGTTTTCTTCTGATTTTTTTTTTTTTTTTTTTTTCTTCCGCCAAATTTTGTTCTTGCGATAAATTTTTGTTTCGCAAGATGTCGCTTAGATGTTTCGTATATGAAATCGAACAGTTTATGCGCCTTTGAAATTGACCCTGCTTAACCGAATACTTTTCTTTGTAGGAGTTATCTCCCCGAACACTGTTTTCCTTGTGCGTGCATCTCCTCCGTAACCATAAAAGAAAGCGACAAATTTATTTTACCAAATTGCTCGTTATATCCTCAGGATGTTTTGTCCAATTTTGACCGAAGCGATAAGTAAACTCCATATGAGAGTTATTTCCCCTTCTGTATTTGACATAAGGGATATATAAATGATTGTATAGCATGAATGGTAAGTGATAGAGACCTAAGGTATATTGATTTGAATTCCTTGGTTCATTTAAATGAAATTGAGGCCAAGGTCAAAGGTCAAGGTCATATTCTAAATTTTGACTTTTCCTTGTTATTTGATCTCCTCTGTCACTTTTAAAATTACAAATTAAAGAACTAGTGCAAAATGTTTGCTTAATTGTGATTAAGATATGATACATTTGGTCTGAAACAATCCAATGATATCTTATAGGAGTTATTGTCCCTGAAATGATTCAATTTAAGGTTAATTGATTATGACTCCAACTTGGTACATGATAAAGCCATAGTGTCTTTTGCAAACTGTTGGTTGACATATGACCTTGAAAAAAGTAAACCGGAAGTGACCTTGAGTGAACTGGAAGTAGTATTGTTTGCACTTATTTCATGGAAAAGTACCTAGAAACCATATATTTTTTGAATGATCATAGGTTAACCTATCATTTGAGACCGGAAGTGACATTTTATATACCGGAAGTAGCATATTATCTTCCTTATTACAGGCATAAGTATATACAAACTATATATTTTTGGAATCAGTGTGAATAAAGCTATCATATGAGACCGGAAATGACATTTTCTAAACCGGAAGTTGGCAATTATCTCCCTTATTTCAGGCAAAAGTATATAGAAACCATTTATTTATTGAATCAGTATGAAGAAATCTATACTTTGACGCTATTAATAACTTTGAGTAAACCAGAAGTAGCTTCCTATCAATTATTTAGAAAATTGACGTGAAAAGACCTTCAATTGTTCTTTGAACAATTGGTTTTTAATTATTTTTATCTTTCTTGTTCATTCATAAAATAAAAGGTATCACTAAAATCGATATTTTATTCATTTCTAGAAAAAAAAAATGCAATTAACTATGACCCCCTTTATAACTATTCATGCCCGTAGATTGAAAAGTCCTTATACGGACATGGATATTAAATTGCTGATATCTTGAAAACAGATTATTATTGATACCGAAGTTAATATTTTAATACAAATGTACAGGAAATCCAAAAAAAAAAACAAATACCATTTTCGTGTTCTCATCTAACCCCATTCAAAAGAGGATCAACTTGATAAAGATAAGTGTTTTTTTTTTGTTATCAAACTTTCAAGATCAGTTTTTACACTCGAAAATAAATATAAATAATATCCGGACAATTTCAATGACAGAAATATGTGATATTTAATTGTTCATTGTACATAAAATATATTTATCAAGCAGTTTTGTCAATAATCTTCTTTCTATCCTGATTACTTTCGATGAACTGGTCTTCTTAAAAGCTGATTCACTTTAGAGAGCACTCTTTCATTGAAGGCTTTATCACACATGACTTTTGGGAATACTGTAACTACGTATCTTCTGAGAAACTCCCTTTTCTGTCTGTTTAGGGGATTCTTATTTAGTTTACCTCCACCGTAAAACGTATACATCGTTCTTATTTGGCCTTCTGAAAGCCCAGACTTTAATCCAATTGAAATGGTTTGGAGTATGATGAAGCAGCGGTTAAATAAGAAAAAACTTTCAACTAAGAATGATCTAACCAGTGGAATTAAGGATGTTTGGAAAAAAGACTTAACTGTTGAACGATGCAACACTTTTATTGACCACAATTTCAAGGTATCACCAGTGGCTGTGTTTATTGGTGGAAGTGCAACAGGGGATTTACCGAAAAAGATTTTCCCAGAGAGATCAAGGTCGAGGTCATTAAGTTATTTTAATGATCAGTTTGATTTAGAAGAGGTGAAAGAGAGACTTGCAGCAGTGAAATACTGATTTAACGGAAAAACAGAGTCATAAATAAACAGTCCTTTTAAGGACTACCAAATTATTCAAAAAGAGTCTAAAATGTTGTAGTTTGTATGATGAGTGTCTTCAGATACATATTACTGTAATTAATTCTTTAAGTCATTCTTCTCTATTCCATAACTTTAATTTGTCTTTTCTTTATAATTGAACACCTTAAAATATTTTTTTGGCCCATGTTTCAATTTTCTTAATTTCCCCATCTAAACCTATATTTTAGTTCACCAATATTCTCTATTCTTTTTTTTTTTGCTAGAACGATTTTCTCTATACTTCATTTTTTTTTGCCTATTATTCTATATTCTGAATATGATATAATTAAATGTGAGCAGCCTTCTTCTGTAAAACAATATTAGGTAAAAAACAAATAAACAAAATAGAAATAAAAAGAAATAAAATTAATAAAATTAAACTAAAAAAGCATATATCATGTTAAAAGATCAGTTTCTTTATTGAAATAATTGAATCATTTATTTTCTTCTTCCCCTTTGGATAATATTTTTTAGTACCTGTAAAGGAAGCAAAATTTGAAATTATTAGCTGATAACATATTTGTAAACAAGGTTATGTAATCTAACAGTTTATCATTCATGCTCCTTGATTCAGGTAACCTTAATTACTAAACAGCATGAGATCACACCTGGTTTTTGTGTCTGTCCTTAAGACTGTCATGTCAGACACAATGTCTCTCAAAGTTATCAATCTCAGTATGTCCTTAAGAGTACTGTACCTGAACGTATAAGATTTCTGCATGTTGATTTATATTTATGAATGATGTCCTTGTATCGATGATAAAATTTAGTAATTGTTTTGACTAGTTTGTGATATCGAAAACCCTGGTGTAATAATTTTTCATGTATCTATTGTTGAAGACTGTATGTTTCTATATGTTTTGGTTATTAGTGTTGTAGGGTAGCTGTCTGATTGACATATATCACACACCTCCTTTTAGTCATATTATACATAGTAACTCTAAAGCATTGATTATTTGATTCTCTTTAATTTACATATAAACATAGGTCCAAAGTTTGCCCTCAGATTAGGTAGAACTAACTGTCCAAACCGGCAACTAGGATAAAAACTGAATGTATCCTTAAATAGTTTTGGCATATAACTTAAGTCAACAACACTAATATCTATACTGGTTTCCTTCCATATATGTTCTAATGTTGCCTGGATGACACCATCATTCTGGCCTGGAGATAATGAACATGTAGAATATACAACACTTCCTCCTGGTACACATGACATTATACCAGCTCTACAAAATACAACATTGACATTAAATATACAACACTTCCTCCTGGTACACATGACATTATACCAGCTCTACAAAATACAAATTTAATGTCAATATACACCACTTCCTACTAGTACACAAGACATTATACCAGATCTACAAAATACAACATTGACATTAAATATACAACACTTCCTCCTGGTACACATGACATTATACCAGATCTACAAAACACAACATTGACATTAAATATACACCACTTCCTCCTGGTACACATGACATTATACCAGATCTACAAAATACAACATTGACATTAAATATACAACACTTCCTCCTGGTACACATGACATTATACCAGCTCTACAAAATACAACATTGACATTAAATATACACCACTTCCTCCTGGTACACATGACATTATACCAGCTCTACAAAATACAAATTTAATGTCAATATACACCACTTCCTCCTGGTACACATGCCATTATACCAGCTCTACAAAATACAAAATTGACATTAAATATACACCACTTCCTCCTGGTACACATGACATTATACCAGCTCTACAAAATACAAAATTGACATAAAATATACACCACTTCCCCCTGGTACACATGACATTATACCAGCTCTACAAAATACAAATTTAATGTCAATATACACCACTTCCTCCTGGTACACATGCCATTATACCAGCTCTACAAAATACAAAATTGACATTAAATATACACCACTTCCTCCTGGTACACATGCCATTATACCAGCTCTACAAAATACAAATTTAATGTCATTATACACCACTTCCTCCTGGTACACATGCCATTATACCAGCTCTACAAAATACAACATTGACATTAAATATACACCACTTCCTCCTGGTACACATGGCATTTATACCAGCTCTACAAAATACAACATTGAAATTAAATAAGGCATCAAACACTTGTCTGGTAAGATGTATGTATTGAATGTAAAATTGGAATTTTTGGTAACCCCCCCATGAGTATTAACACATTTATCAAGTCAAATTTTTTTAATTCCAGACTATTAAAGTTAACTGTAAAAAAACTAATTCCATCTATCATAATAAAATTGAGAATGGAAATGGGGAATGTGTCAAAGAGACAACAACCCGACCATAGAGCAGACAACAGCCGAAGGCCACCAATGGGTCTTCAATGCAGTGAGAAACTCACGCACCAGGAGGCGTCCTTCAGCTGGCCCCTAAACAAATATGTATACTAGTTCAGTGATAATGGATATCATACTAAACTCCAAATTATACACAAGAAACTAAAATTAAAAATGATACAAGACTAACAAAGGCCAGAGGCTCCTGACTTGGGACAGGCGCAAAAATGCGGCGGGGTTAAACATATTTTTTGAGATCTCAACCCTCCCCCTATACCTCGAAACATACTTATAATGAAAAAAAATATAGTTTCAAAAGTTTGATGCACACATTATCTTTCAATCAACAGAAAGCTTTTCCCCAAAGGAGTAAGTTTGATAAGGGCCATATATGGCCCCAATTATAAAGTTCAATGTTACAGAATAAAAAATATTTTAAGTTATCATAAAGACAAGTGAAAAATGTAAATAGAACTAGTTGTGTCAAAGTTTTCTTCTAAAGCGTTGATATTAACTTCCAAATATTATAGGTCGAGATAAGAGGTTTTCGGGAAATTTGACAAAATCGGCCAGGTTTCAACCAAATTTAGGACCAGGAAACACAGAGCGCAGGGGTTGACGAACTAAATATTCAAGTTATAACATGTAAAAGGTCTTTACAAACATTATTTTAAAAGATATTTTTTGTCAACGCATGCCCTCTATGTTTCCTGTCCAATAATCAATGGAAATTTACCCATTTTAATTGATTTTTTCGTGGAAAATAAGAATGAGTACTATTTGTGACGTCATGAATAAAACGCAGGTAAGTAAATTTTCAACAAAAAGGCTTATTTTCTATCTAGTCAACGTATTTGCTATGATTCATTGTGATATTGGTCAATAAATCCTAAATAGAAAATTGAGCTAAAAAAGGGGGCAATTTTTGGGCCTTATTGAACCTACCGGTACTCCTTTTATAAATTCCATGAAGAATTGGCAAATTAATTGTGTAACAAACTTTCACCATAGAATGTATCTACTCGTTAACTACCAAAAAACCCAACATTTGTTAGATAAAATTCCATAAAGGTCTGACAAAGTTATTGATGTCTAAAATTCTTTTAACCACAAACTGTATCTGAATGTTGTCAATGCCCAAACCAACACTGACAACAGAATTGAGGATCAAATTGTCTGGCTTTCAGGACATATAAAGGCAAGTTCAACAAAAATGATTTAGAGTTGGTTTCAAATATTTTTCGTTCATTATTTTGTAAATTAATTAGGCCGTTTGTTTTCTCATTTGAATTGTTTTATATTTGTCATTTCGGGGTCTTTTATAGATGACTATGTGGTATGAGCTTTGCTCATTGTTGAAGGCCGTACAGTGACCTATAGTTGTTAATTTCTTTGTCATTTGGTCTCTTGTAAAGATTTGTCTCATTAGCAATCATACCACATCTTCTGTTGTATATTGTGATTTTAGCAAGAGCATTATTGAAGACTTAAATCATGCATGTAGAGTAAATACATTAATGATTATTATTATTCTAATATACACACATTTATCAAATCTTCATTATCAACACTAATTATTTAAATCAACTTACAATAATAAATGCTTTTGAGTTGCAGGTATCTGAAGTCTTTCTTTCATTCTACCTGGTTTAAACATATTATTATCATCTTCCAAAGCAGAATGTCTGTCATTTGTACAGGGAACATCTACCAATACCTGTATAAAGTTTGGTAGGATTATAACCGATATGCTTTTAATTATACATAATAACATTCTTATAAAAATAAAAGAACAGAGTTCCAATGTCACACATGTTGCACATGTTTGATCTATCCAAGGGCAATAACTAAGAAACACTTTTATTTTTCATCTATAAACTTTTTACAAATATCTCAGAAAAATGGAGATTGGAGAGCAAATACAAAACAATTTCCAATATAATAAATATTTCCAAAAGGCATAAATGTTTTAAAATCATTTAAAAGGTTTTTGAACTAGTCTAAGACATTGGTTATATAAACCTTTGATATAAATTTGATAAAAAACTTGCTATAATTTTACACATGAGAGCACTAACAATGCAATTTTCCATATAATCAATATTTCAAAGGGGCATAACTCTTTTAAACATATTTGATCCACACTGATTTTCAAACTTGTGCGAGATATTGCTGATATACACATTTGATATAAATTTGTTAAAAATCTGGCTAGAATTGTACAAAGAGAGCAGTAATAATGCAATTTTCTATATAATTTTAAATATTTCAAATGGACATAACTCTTTCAAATAGAGTTAATCATCACTGATTTTTCCAATTTGTCCGAGACATTGATGATGTTAATCTATGATACAAGTTTCAGGAAAATCTGCCAAGAATTGCACACATGAGAGTGATAACAGTGAAATTTTCCATATAATTAAAGGGGAAATATATATCATAGATCTATTACAAGTAGTTCCAATCAAACCAACTGATGCAGAAAACTCAACATTGAAAATTGAGCATTAATTGAAATGCTCTCAACCATGACCTAGGGGGCACGGCCTCATCAAACTGACATGTACTGATAGTAAAGCAACTTTATAGAAAATATCATTAATCTATCACATAATGACATATAGATCCTATCAAACCAACTTAAGCAGAAAACTAATCAATTGATGCAACATACAAGTAAATTAAAAACTAATATAAATTCTTTGTTAGCTTAGCCAGAGTAGAGTTACTATGTCTCAGAAATAAGTTATTGCAGAACTGAAAATTTTCTAATTGTAAATAAAATCATTTTTTAAGGATTTGTTTGTCTGAAATCTGATGAATAGATCTAGGGACAAATACAAACCTTTTCATAACTAGGTTCATTTAAGGTCACACCATCATCTTGATGAACTGTGACCATGTCAATCATTGTCTGGTTGCCATAGGAGTGCAGTGTCCTTGTCAATCTTTGAAGTCTACTTTTTGATGAATCATTACAAAGCAATGTGCCTGAAAATTATAAAAAATGCTTAGTGTGTAAAGTTCAATTGTCAAGTTCATATCAATGATATCGTAATGTTGTTAGAAAATTCACGAACAGGAATTCCTTTCGAATAACAATTTCATATTATTTAGAACATAACAAAGAAAATATAAAAAAAATCAACAAACTGGTCCCACATTCACATGCATATGGTTTAAAAAAAAACCAAGAGAGTACATTCAAATTGTTTAAAATTTACATGTTGGCAAATTCAAGTTATGCTAGGGGAACCTTTATTAATAAAATCTCACTGTATATAATATATATCTGTTATGTTCAATGGTCCAATTTACACATCTTTTTCAGCCGATTGCAGTGAGTGTCTAAGCAAAAGTAATATCTTTGGTTAGCTTGCTTGCTAGTTGAACCGTGACGTCATTATTAGGTAAGGTATACTACCCTCCTTTAGAAGTAGCCTAGTCCTATAGACAGATAGATTATATAAAATATATGAATAAAGAAGGATGATTTAAAACCTGAGAAAGTAGGCATAACAACTGTAGACAAAAAACAAACAATTCTAATTTGGTCATTGGTATTAATTTCAGGGGAGATAACTTATTTTACAGATGGTATTAATTTCAGGGGAGATAATTTTTTCCCCTCAGGGTGCTATAAACAGTTTCGTATAAAAAACTAGGGGTTATTCCCCGACTAAAAATAACCATGGAGGGAAATCCCTTTTTATTCATATAATTGGTGAAAAAGTATCATGTTTTTTGTATTTGATTGTATAAATTAGTTAATTAGCTTTCAATTTAAACAGGTTAAATGATTAAAATAATTTTAAAAATTAGATTAAATATACATGTTTTGAGGGGAGACAACACTGTAAACATCCTGTTTTTTTGGCAGTGAAAATTGAAAACTTATTTGCAGCCACTGTAGCTCTTTTCGAAGCAGGAAACCGTACCCTGAAACAGGATTTTATTAAAGGCCAGGTAAAAACCTATGAATTTCATACAGTTTTGATTATGGGAAATGTGCCTGTATCATGTTTACATGGGTATGCACATGAGCTGATTTCAGGTTTTTTATGTTCAGATTAGGCAACTTTCTCCCCATTTTCTCTGGATAGAACTTTTTTACTATACTAAAAGTACACTATATTTTTATTTCAATATAAACTAGAGACAATTCTGATTCCAGTGATATCTAGTTTTATACAAGTATCTTTATTAACCATTCCACCACTAAGGGTCACTTAGGCATGGTCCCTTAAAATATGACGTCATAGAAAAAAACTGTTGATTGCACCCTCACAAATTGGTGTTAATTTCAGGGGAGATAAATTTTTTTTCACAAATTGGTACATGTATAAATCTCAGGGGAGGTAATTTTTGCACAAAATTGTGCAAAGGGGTTGTTATTACTAAAATCATCTACATTTTACACTATTGAAATTCAGAACAAGTTCTAACATTTTTCTTTTTATTTCCTGAATGTCATTTTTGAAATAATGTCCTAAAATATACATTAAAGTCTATAGATATTTTTTGGGGGTTTTATTTACCAAAGACTGATTTCCTCCCATTTTTATGTACTTCAAATTTGAACCCCACATTCTAAAATTTATATATAACAAAAGAGTTGAAACAAAGAATTGTACATTCATTAATCTTCTATTATGTGCAGCCTTTTATGTCTTTTTATCTTAAAGTCAACAGTAGGCAATTTGAAACCAGTAATATGTTGTGATAATCAGAGGCAGCTTGGTACGAAAATGTTAGATGGCAATGAGGGCAATCCCCCTTTTTTGTCAAAATTGAAGCATAAGTGTATCATTTGTATGATTTGGTAACAACCGACATTACTACTCTGTTTTTTTTCCATATTTTTGTTTATTCTTTCATAGATTTTCCTATTTTTTTAGTTAACATGTAAATAGCAGCAAAGTTTGATAAAGATAAGATTGGTGCAGTGAAATTGGTTCTAATACTGCAAGAACTATGGTAGAGACATGAAAGATAGGTTTTGATTGAAATTTACTGCTACATGTATAAAATTAAGAAATCATTATGTATTAATTAAGGAATATATATATATATATCTGCATCTTGAAAAGTTCTGAGTTCTTGTCTGGATTTAGCTAAAATTTGGGTCCTTTTTTAGGAAAAATTATCAGCTCTTCAACATTTTTTAAGTTTTAGACTTTCAATTGTTGAAACGTGCATGTCTGGTGCAATAACGTTGGTACTTTTTATCTTTTGCAAGAAATCTAATGACAATAATTGACACGGCAAGACAGATGAGATAATATGTAACGTTAATTGTACAAATGAGTAAAAAACACAGCTATTTGTCTACCTGAATGTTGATACTGTAACATTGCCAACATCTTTCCACCAGGAGCAGAACACATGTCTAGGACATTATCATTATCTTGTACATCAAGGGCAATAACTGGTAACAAGGAGGCAGCATCCATCATGTAATAACCTGAAATATACATTACATAGCTGTACACCAGGGGCAATAACTGGTAACAAGGAGGCAGCATCCATCATGTAATAACCTGAAATATACATCACATAGCTGTACATCAAGGGTAATAACTGGTAACAAGCTTCAGGAGGCAGCATCCATCATGTAATAACCTGAAATATACATCACATAGCTGTACATCAAGGGCAATAACTAGTTACAAGCTTCAGGTGGCAGCATCCATCATGTAATAACCTGAAATATACATCACATTGCTGTACACCAAGGGCAATAACTGGTAACAAGGAGGCAGCATCCATCACATAATAACCTGAAATATACATCACATAGCTGTACATCAAGGGCAATAACTAGTAACAAGCTTCAGGAGGCAGCATCCATCATGTAATAACCTGAAATATACATCACATAGCTGTACATCTAGGGCAATAACTGGTAACAAAGAGGCAGCATCCATCATATAATAACCTGAAACATACATCACATAGCTGTACATCAAGGGCAATAACTAGTAACTAGCTTCAGGAGGCAGCATCCATCATGTAATAACCTGAAAAATATATCACATGGCTGTACATCAAGGGCAATAACTGGTAACTAGGAGGCAGCATTCATCATGTAATAACCGGAAACATATATCATATAGTTGGGATGACTTTTGAAGAAGGCCCACAGTCATATAACTCGATATAAACTTAAATATAAATATAAATAGATAGCCACCACCTGTAATTGGATTTTACTAGGTCTATTTGCTTCATATTGAAGTTTAAAAAAAAGTATGTTTATCATTGTTTTTGCCTGAATGAAAATGGTTTTTATGGATGGAATTAGTCAGTTGACCAAATTGTTCATCCTTGTTTCACTTTCAATGTAGATCCTCTAAATAGCTGAATACATTGGTAATCAATCTCTAGCATGTCTAGCTAAGGGGTTAAATCAAAGGTAACACGAATATGAATTCAATGAGGTCGAACTATTCACTTGTTTCTTGACAAAATTGAACCAAATTAGCTGCTTAAAGTGATTTATTATTTCACTTATTTCACTTTCATTAATGATTGAATAATAAAAAAAATCATATTTTATTTTATTGCATATCTTGAAGCTAATGTCCTTTAAGATAACCAAGTATATATCCAGATTTGAACTTGTTCTGAATGTTCAAGTTTAAGAGACCTTTATAAGAGACTAATCATTATCTAAAGAAAAACAGTCATGAATGTTCCTTTTGTATTTTTCGCCTCTCTTTTTTAATGATCACAATGATATCCTCTGTTAACAAGCTGTTTCAATGTTTTACTATTTTCCTTCTTACCTAGTTTACTATTTCCCCTACTGATGGTAGGTTCTGGAAACAGATCAATATTTCCTCTCTTATGACAGTATGCTTTGAGTGTATCAGGTATGCCAGGAATATCCTCTGTAATAACATTGACTGGGAAGTCCGTATCCTCAAATGTATTCTGTCTGGCAAGTTCTTGATATAGAAATTCTCTCTGAGTATAAACTTTATTTGTAGGCATAAAATCATATAAACTAGTATTCTTTTCATCTAAAGGTTCATTGTTACTGGAAAATACAATGGAATCACTTCTATGAGAAGGTTGTGTATTGTCTTTATCTGAATCATCAGAATCAATAAGCTTGTCCTTTTTAGTACTTAAACTACCAGTTTCAATGCTTTGTGAATGTTCCGTTTTTAAATCCGTTGAAATATCAACAGCTTTCTGTATGAAGTCTTCTGCACCTAAATCAGATAAAATTGACTCTGCTTTGAAGGTTGTGCCCTCATCACAGTGATTTACCAAAGCACAATATTTCTGTTGTGATAACAGAGATATTCTAATAGATGGCCACAGTTCTTTATAATAATTACTGTAATACATGTCAAAGTTATTTAAGGCATGTTGTTTATTACTCTTTGGATTGCTCTGGAAAGCCTGAAAAATAGAAAATAAAAAATTAGATTTTGCAATTTGTAGAAAAGTAGATAATCCTCATTGTCTTTACATGATTATCATGGTACATATTATTTACATGATGTACTGATGTCTTAACATGATTATCACGGTACACATGTACTGATGTCTTAACATGATTATCATTGTACTGGTGTCTTAACATGATAATCATTGTACATGTTGTACTGGTGTCTTAATATGGTTATCATGGTACACATGTACTGATGGCTTAACATGATTATCATGGTACACATGTACTGATGACTTTAACAGGATTATCATTGTACTAGTGTCTTAACATGAGTATCATGGTACACATGTACTGGTGTCTTAACATAATAATCATTGTACATGTTGTACTGGTGTCTTAACATGGTTATCATGGTACACATGTACTGATGGCTTAACATGATTATCATGGTACACATGTCTGATGGCTTAACATGATTATCATGGTACACATGTACTGATGGCTTTAACATGATTATCATGGTACACATGTACTGATGGCTTAACATGATTATCATGATACACATGTACTGATGGCTTTAACAGGATTATCATTGTACTAGTGTCTTAACATGAGTATCATGGTACACATGTACTGATGTCTTAACATGATTTTCATGGTACACATGTACTGATGTCTTAACATAATTATCATGGGACACAAGTACTGAATTATTGCATTAACATGATTATCATTGTACGTATGACTTAACATGATTATCATGCATATGGTACACATGTTCTGATGTCTTAATATGATTAACATTATACTGGTGTCTTAACATGATTATGATGGTAAACATGTACTGATGTCTAAACATAATTATCATTGTACACATGTACTGGAGTCTCAACATTATTATCATGGTACACAATTACGGATGTCTTGCATTAACATGATTATCATTGTACATATGTCATTAAATGATTAACATGAAACACAGAGTTCCAATGAGTAGCAATAAGATGATTATGGTACGGACAACTGGTATAAAAATGATAATCATCAACTCAACTTTAACTTTAATACAGTAAACTATTTGTAACAACTTTCTATTTCCTCACTTAATTCTCAAGTCTTGATTTTATTTCATGGAAAAAGTGTCTATTCTTGATGACGTCATACATCTTCTTATTTCTATGTATTAAGTTACTGCGCAAAGTTTCAAGAAATCCAAGTGCCCTCTAAAAATTAAACTATTTATGATTTATTTAACAAATAAAAAACATACGCTACTACAAATTAAGAACATTTTAGGAATAAAGAGGAGACAACTCATGAAAGGAAATGAGATTATTACCAAGATTGCTTTGAGATGGACACCTGCTGCTAGATGAAAAAGAGGGAGGCCAAACGAGACCTGGTGTAGAATGGTAGAAACTGAGATGAAAGACCTTGGGAAAACCTGGAAGGAGATTGAGAAGAAGGCAAAAGACAGGCAAATGTCGCAAGTACTGGTTGAGTCCTAATATACAAGAGGATTAGTCAGTGAGAACTCATGAAAGTATCTGTAATAACACATACATGATATTTTTTTCTGACAACCCTATACTTATAAAAGTGACCCTTGACTGGCAACTGGTTTTTGACCAGTATTGTCTTAGTCAGTCTATGTCATGTATATTTTGATATTTGGCCATGTTTAGCTGTTTAGAAACAAATTTTAACATTTCATAAAAAATATTTTCATTTTTTTAAAATAAATGCACATGAGATCAAGTGAAAGGACATTAATTGCCACATCTTTGGGTAGCAACTCTTAAATTCTTTTTCCATTTAACATATAATAGCCTGTACCACTATTTATCATATACTTGTAGAAAATAATGGTATAATTGTACCCCTTGATAAAACTAATTTGCACATATATTTATTTATTAAATTTGAAGAATTGTCTTAGCCGTACTTTCGTTATCAACTGCTTCCAGTATATATCAACTGTATCCGGTTTATATCAACTGATTCCGGTTATTATTGCATGCCTTTCTTTAATATTATCGCAAAGCATTTCAACGTCATTCTGCAAATCCGGAAAATAAACCTATAAGCAGTGATAAGCTGTATTGCTTCTGGTTTGAAATAAACTATTAGTGGTACATTTTAGTGAAAAACATAACAACATGTAAGTAAAATAAAAAACTGAATAATAAGAAACAGGAAAATATATCATTTAAAAATGCATATATGATTTCATCTTATAAGAACATTTACCTTGATAATTATGATTCCCACGCTAAACGAACATGCTAATTATATTATCTCTTGGCATTTTAAACTAACGTTAAGCCTATTTAAATAATATTACTAAACATCCAAATTAGTCATGCTTCTGATGTTAATATTGTATTTAAAAAACACTTACTTAAAATTATATATGATTCCCAAGCCTTACGAACATGTAATTTATTTCTGTCTCTTGCCATTTAACAGTACATTACTTTTAAAGTCCCTATATTAATATTAATGCTTATATATAAATTCACGACTTGTTGTATATACACTGGTTATTATGGTGGGGGATACTGTTTGGATCATTCATAAGGGGACGAAGTCCCCTATTACGGTAGAAAAATCAATAAAAAAAATTAAAAAAGAAAAAAATCGGGGAAAATTTCCCGAAATTTTCATTCTACTAATTAACTCAAAATCGTTAACTTTTTTATTTTCAGACTTTTTTATTTTCCCGCATTTGCGCAGAAATCTACTTCCTTTTTCCGGTCTCGTTTGCATGAGTCTTTGAGTAAAATATATATTTATCAGTCTAGTAAAATATAGGAAGGAACGCAATACCAATTCCATTTTTAATAATTCCTTGAATGGCTTGATATGAAAAAACGTTACCTGATAGCGTTTCTTTGTTTACATTGAATATGACGTCATAACATAAATAACGTCACAACTAAAATCCCTAACAACAAAACCAAAATCGGAAATGTTACGGTATTTCCGTTTCTTTTTTAACAGATTTAGAACTTAAAATATGTTTGAATTAAAAAAAAAAATTTATATAGACTTCGTCCCCTTTCACAGATAATGCCTGCCTAATATTATTTTATAAAGGATTTATTGTGTTTTAATGTACAGATACTGTTATAACTTATCGGTCTCATCTGAGTGCTCCTAAACAGGAGGGAATTACGGAAGAAGAAGAAGAAGAAACCAAGTATATTATTTACAATACATTAATTTTATAAAGTTAAAAGAAAAAGTTTTCTTGCCTGTATGGCTTCTGCTGAAAGTATATTAAAAAAGAACATAACCTTTCATCTTTCATATCAGACCCCTTATCAGCCCATAGTCAAATCTGAGACTACTATAACACATATTTACATATATGTCTAGAAATGTGGGTATGCCACCAAAGGAAATTATCTAATTTGGAAAATGAAATATCTTTTTATCTTTTTTATACCATTTTTTTCTTATATCGTATGTGACGCATCTGTTTAAATGATATGAATTTGTTGGTTGTGAGCAGCTTGTAGGAAATGTACAACTGAGAATTGCAAATTGTTGTTCTTGACATTTCTATGCTCAATCTCACGTGTTTTTCTACTTTCGTTTTGAGCGGAAGTTGCTATTCATAAGATCCACAAAATGAAACCTTTCATCTCATTCGTCAATGAAAAAGTCATCACTCAATCAAAATTTAGATAACAAATCCATTTGTTCACTTTGTTTATGTTTCATCTTGTCAGATATTTTGCCACGTCTGTCTTAACAAATTCATCCTCTTTTCTTGCATTGAAACGTTAATTCATTGCAAAATCCTTTCAACAACCATGAAAGCTATGTACAGTATGCGAAGTCCAGGTAAAAACATTGAAATATTGTAGGAGTGAAAGACACACCCTTAATTTTGCATCAGCCTTTTATCAAATTATTTTTTCTGCAGTCTCAGCCAATAAAAAAATTCAATCTATCTGTATCTGTATCTGTATAATACTGGAAATGAACTCAAATATTACTGAGTAAAACTTAACCAGGAAGTGTGTGTGTGCCACTGATGTAACTAGTCGCGCGATATAACTGCCTTAAAACTTTCCACAGTTTTACAGTTCACGGCAGTATTTGGTAGTAAGTTCCAATCAATGTTAGTTTGTGGAAAAAAAGAATGTTTATAAATGTCAGTATTTGCTGATAAAAACTTTATTTGTTTGACGTTTGAAGTTCATGAAGTTCTGGATGGTCTAGTATTAAATTCTATGCGATGTTCAGCATGTTCAGTGGGGATGGCTACCAGGTGGTTCACTATTTTGTACAGTAGTACCAGACGTTGTTCTCGTCTTCTTTCCACAAGAGGTTTCCATCCAAGGTCCTTCATCATGGAGGTGACACTACTAGAACGTCTTAGTATAGTCTTTACAAACGAACCTAGCTGCTCTTCGTTGTATGCTCTCTATGCGGTGAATGTCTTTCTGTAGATATGGGTCCCATACAGTGCCTGAGTAATCCAAGACAGAACGAACAAGAGAGATGTAGGCGGTTTCCTTAAAATGTTTGTTGCAGTGTTTAAGGTTCCTTCTGATAAATTCCAGTGTAGAATTAGCTTTGTTGCAGAATTTGTTAACGTGAGATGACCATTTCAAATTATCGCTAATGATTACACCTGAGTATGGATTTTCACTGACTTGCTCTAAGACGTGATTACTTAGTGTATAGCTGTGTATGAGCGGGGACCTGCTACGGTGAACATGGTGAATTGACATGACATATCATTTACTGGCATTAAAACTCATACCCCAGTCCTTTGCCCAGTTGTCTAATTAGTCGAGATCTTTCTGTATTTGGAGTTAGTCCTGTGGTGTGTTGATGGTATTATACAGGAGGCAGTCGTCTGCAAACAGACGTACTTGTGATTTTACACAGAGCGGCAAGTCATTAATATGACATAGAAAAAGAAGGGGACCGAGGACAGTTCCTTGGGGCACCCCTGAGATGACAGAACAAGATGAAGAAAATTCTCCTTCGACAATAACTCGCTGGTGACATTGCATTAGGAATGATTTAATCCATGCATTTGTATTACCATCAATTCCATAGTTCTTTAATTTGTGTAAGAGTTTTCGATGAGGCACTGTGTCGAATGCCTTACTAAACATGCTAAAGTCCAGTATGGTTAAATCGATTTGCTTCTTGGCATCAAAAGATTTCATGATGTCATGCATAGTAATAAGAAGTTGACCTTTGCAGGAATGGCCACTACGGAAGCCATGTTGAAGTGAGGTAAGTATATTGTGTGCTTCCAGGTGTTTCAGGATATGCTTGCAAACTATGTGTTCAAGGAGTTTACAGCAAACACAGGTGAGTGATACAGGTCGGTAATTTGCCGCTGTATGTCTATCTCCTTTTTTGTCGAGCCTGCGACTTTTGTCGCAGAAAGCTCGACATAGGGATAGCGATCCGGCGGCGGCGGCGGCGGCGGCTACGGCGGCGGCGGCGGCGGCGTTAGCTAACTTCTTAAAAGCTTTATATTTTAGAAGATGGAAGACCTGGATGCTTCATACTTTGTATATGGATGCCTCATGTTACGAAGTTTCCGTCAGTCACATGTCCAATGTCCTTGACCTCATTTTCATGGTTCAGTGACTACTTGAAAAAAAAGTTCAGTTTTTTTGTAATGTTAAATTCTCTCTTATTATAAGTAATAGGATAACTATATTTGGTATGTGCGTACCTTGCAAGGTCCTCATGCCCGTCAGACAGTTTTCACTTGACCTCGACCTCATTTCATGGATCAGTGAACAAGGTTAAGTTTTCGTGGTCAAGTCCATATCTCAGATACTATAAGCAATAGGTCTAGTATATTCGGTGTATGGAAGGACTGTAAGGTGTACATGTCCAACTGGCAGGTGTCATCTGACCTTGACCTCATTTTCATGGTTCAGTGGTTATAGTTAAGTTTTTGTGTTTTGGTCTGTTTTTCTTATACTGTATGCAATAGGTCTACTATATTTGGTGTATGGAATGATTGTAAGGTGTACATGTCTAGCTGGCAGGTGTCATCTGACCTTGACCTCATTTTCATGGTTCAGTGGTCAAAGTTAAGTTTTTGAGTTTTGGTCTTTCTTTCTAATACTGCATGCAATAGGTCAGCTATATTTGGTGTATGGAATGATTGTAAGGTGTACATGTCTAGCTGGCAGGTGTCATCTTACCTTGACCTCATTTTCATGGTTCAGTGGTCAAAGTTAAGTTTTTGAGTTTTGGTCTTTTTTTCTAATACTATATGCAATAGTTCAACTATATTTGGTGTATGGAAATATTTTATGATCTATATGTCAGTCACGCAGGTTTTATTTGACCTTGACCTCATTTTCAAGGTTCATTGCTCAGTGTTAAGTTTTTGTGTTTTCGTCTGTTTTTCTTAAACTATAAGCAATAGGTCAACTATATTTGTTGTATGGAAGAATTGTTAGCTGTACATGCCTGCCTAGCATGGTTCATCTGACCTTGACCTCATTTTCATGGTTCATTGGTCAATGTTTAGTTTACTTGGTTAATGTTAAGTTTATGTGACAGTTGTAATAAAGCTTTATATTTAGGACTATCAACATAATATCAATGATTAGTAAAGAAGGCGAGACATTTCAGCGTGTGCACTCTTGTTAAATATTGGACTGATGTTAGCGTTTCTCCAGTCAGATGGAAGTGTACCTGAGTCTAGACTAAGCTGGAATATGTGACTCACTACTGGTGCTAATTCAATTGAGCATAGTTTTAATACTTTGTTTGCGATGCCGTCTGGTCCACTAGCTTTGTTGTTGTTTAAGTTTATCAATAGTTTTTCTACTCCTTGTACTTCATTTACTTCAATGTTAATGTTGTTCATTCTTCATTTGTACTTGGGTATTTTGATTCATGGGTCTGTGTGGTAGTTGGTCTGATGCGTTTTCCTTGGTGAAGACCAACTTAAATTGATCGTTATTAATTCTGCCTTAGATTTGCTGTCCTGATGTAAAATTCCATTTTTTTAATTCCAGCCACACCTACATGTATGTTGTCAGTACGTTTAGACTTTATGTATCGCCAAAAAGGTTTACTATTACTTTCCTCCAAAGCTGCGTCTAGTATTGTGTTGACATACTGCCAGTGAGCTTGTCATGCTTGTTGTACAGATTTCTGTGTAGCTCTTTTATGTTGTTTAAATTTTGCCCAGTCTTCGGGCTTTCCTGTATGTTTAGCTTTCTGAAACAGTTTGTGTTTTTTTTCCTAATTTTCTTTTTTACGCTGTTTGATAGCCAAGGTAGACTATGTCTCTTATTTGTTATTTTCCTTGGTACATTAAGATTGAGTGTTGTTTCTATACCGTTTTAAGGTTGGTCCACTTATCTTCAACAGAGGTGTTACTATTGATAATGTCCGCTCCAAATTTTATAGTGTCAGCTTTGATCTCCTCCCATTTTGCTTTCTTGTAAACGTATATTTCTCTTGGTTTTGATTTATTATATTGTGGTTTTAAATCTGTATCAAGAACAATCATGTTGTGATCTGATATTCCAGGTAGTGTGTTACATGACTTTACAAGACTTGTTTGGTTTGTAAGAAATAAGTCAAGGATGTTGTTTTTACTCGGCTTGGTTTAAGTTCTAGTTGTTCCATGCCAATTTAATTCTTCAATGAATTCAAGAAGTTCTTGGTCAGTCAGGGGTACTACTTGTACAAGTAATTTTTATTTACCTGAAGAAGTAAATATTAATATACTTATATAAGTAAATTTGTAGGATACTTATACAAGTGTATTTTATTTACTTGTATAGGTAAATTATTTTTTGGCTTAGTTATGTCCCTTAGACATTCAGATTTTTTTACTTATACAAGTAAAAAAGTCATCCTATCTTCTTTTCTTGAATTTCTTAGGACAAATCTTTGCTCTAATAGAATTTTTAATTGTCTGTCCATTGCAGATGTCTTTACTAATCATTTAAGTGTTATTTCATGGACAATGAAAATCTCATTTGTCTGTTATCTTAAGTACACTGCTCATTTACAAGCCCCCAAGGGGCAATTTTTGAAGGCCTTGCGCAAATACTTTAGATCTTTGCACAATTAGTTTCTTTGTTGAATTAATGAGATGAAACATTGAACTCTAATAAAAAATTATGAGCTAACCTGAGAAAAATTGTTAAAGGCATGTTTTTACATCTCAAAACTTGAGAATTTTTCGGGATTGTAAAAAAAAATTACTTATACAAGTAAATTTTTGAGAAAATTAAGGGGAAATTATTCAAACATTATAATTTACTTATACAAGTATATTATTATTTACTTCTTCAAGTACCGGTAAATAAAGATTACTTGTACAAGTAGTACCCCTGACTGTTGGTGATGTTTTACTTGTGCTTTTCCTGATTTGACTGTGTTGTTATTCCAGTCAATATGAGGAAGGTTGAAATCTCCTGCAAGTATAATAGGTTTATCTTTGCTGTTTTCACTCACATTTAGTACTGATGTTTTGACGTTATGCAGTGCGTCTATGCTTGCATTTGGTGGACGGTAGTAGGAACCAATTATGACGGATTTGGTTTTTTGTTTGTATTTCTGCCCATTATCATGATTGTAGTTCACAATCATTTTCACTGTTGTCAATTGCGGAAGTAGTGAATTTATCATGGACTGCAATGAATACGCCTCCCCCATTTTTGTTTCTGTCCTTGCGAAAAACATTTTTGTTGTACCCATTTGGAAAGATTTCTGCAGTTCGGTGCTCATTTGCTAACCATGATTCACACCCTATGATAACATCATCTGCATCTATGAGGATGACAGGGCTCTACACATTTTATATTCATTTGTAATATTTTTTAAAAATGAAACTTCGGTTTTCATTTTTTATTACCATTATCACGATTATTGTAATTATGTGAATACATGTACTTTCAATTTCAATTTGTTTTTCTGGTTACCTGAATATGCTGAATTAAGGTGGACTCCAAAGTGCATAAATGTATTTTGATTAACACTTTTGTGTTTTTGAAATACAATTTACATGTATTCACTTTATATTTCCAGCTGTGAAGAGACTGATGAAAGAAGCACAGGAGCTACGTGAGCCAACAGAACTGTATTTCACACAACCTTTAGAGGTATCAGAATCATAATAATACAAGGACTCTATAAGACCCTGTTTACACTTGTACAAACTTGAATCGATCTTTAAAAGACCAGTTGGCGTTTACCTTTGTACAAGCAAGATCGATCGAGATCAATCATATTTAACCCTTTCCCTTTCACACCGGTACAGCTTACCGGTGAAGCAAATTTTAAGATATTTTTTGGGCATTTAGTCTTGTTCCATCGTCATTTGCTGACGTACAGATATGGTTAAGGGCTCAAATCAATCCTCAGGATACCAGCAATATGATTGAATGTGCATCAAACTTCTATCATTATCAGTTCAAAGTCAATTCGCCTCTTACTGACATGTATTTATTCTGTAAAAACCTTTTTTTTTCTTCGAATTTTAAAGAATATTTTCAAAAAGAAGTGCATAGAAAACTATCCTTTTTGGGGGAATTATGACTTTTTTCAATAACTGTGCAGTGAGTTTTTGAAGAATGGTATTAAAATAATAGTTCTAACTTGTACACTAGTTAAAAATGTAATTTTTAGTGTACCAGCGCAAACACAAACTTGAAATGCGCTAAAAATCCGTAGTCATTTCTTAAAGATTTTATCGTAAAAGAGATAAAAATCACTAAAATGTCCTGAATTTTTTTAGCAAAGTTGAAATAGATGTAACAAAACATGGTTTCGTAAGTGTTTGGGTATGATAAAGTTGAAAACACTTTTGTTTAAATGAAGGAAAATGTATATGTCAATGGAAACAAGACAGATTAAGAACTGGATTCCTGCTATATTTGCGCAAAAACCATGCATTTGGCCATTTGGCATCAAAAATATATTATCTGAACACATAATTTCTAATAGAAAACAAGCTGGGTGAGGATCTTCATATGTTTTTTTTTTCACGTCTTGAGTAGTAGACTTAAGTACTTAAATTTCAATATATTCCTAACGATGCCAGTGGTGCAGGGGTATGCTGAACAAACCCAAGGCGGAAAGATCGCGTGTTCGATTCTCACTGCCGGAGGTTGAAAAATTATTTCCTATATTAAATGTAACTTAACTTAACTTTACTTTCAATTTCAAAAAGAAAAACCAACGAAATACTTATGTTTGTTTTTAAAAGAATGTGTGTGCCAAATTGCCCCCCCCCTTTTTTTTGCCCCCATTTACTTCCTCGGGTTCGGTCCAGGGTACGCCACATCAAGTTATCATTAGTAATTCAATGAATTTTCCCTTAGAAAAACAAAATTTAGGTTACTGCTTGACTGAAATCGATTTAGACAAAAAACTAGTGTCCGAGTTTGAAATTGGACGAAAAGAGCGTCTGAAATCAGTTACTTTGAATGTTACGGACATCGAGATTTCAAGGCATATAGCACGCATTTCCTCTTTTAATACCAATATGATAACTTGTATGTCTTTAACAGACTTGGGGCATTGTGTTTCCACCAAAACCTTACCCTATTAGCGCAACAATATGTCTCTACACGACTTTTGTCCCAAGGATTTCGTATTTTTTCACATTTTCTCCAAAAGTCACGTGACATTTCGAAACATCCCACGTGACCAAAAAAGGACGAATTATCTTTAAACGTAATTTTCTGAAATATTTGATCAATTATCATTCATATGAGCCCAACATGGCATGTGCATGACCATTGGTGCGAATGCAGTATTCAATTGAACTTTGATAGTGTCTTTTAGATAAGTAAAGGTCTAAAATGCCTGAAAGGGAAAGGGTTAATTATTACCTTATATTTCGTAAACAAATAATCCTAAAAATAGAATAGTATTAAAAGGAAATTCTGCATCACGCTCGGATTATCACACACTGCAAAATCATGGAGAAAATATTTTGCACATTGCAATTTCTTATGAATTTATTAATTATTTTTTTGGTTTATACATCACAGGTCATTAAACAAAGACATGTGTGTAGACAGTAAATATAGCTAAAAAACGAACGGTCAATGCGCTTGAAGATGAGGATTTGCAGCAAAGAAATAGAACTTATCGATTTAGAAGATAACTCTAAAACAGCGGAATCTATCATTTGTTTACTTTTCTTATTCATTGTTATTCCATCCATAATTTCAAACACGTGTGTTTTTGCCGCAATCGATCTAGGCGTTTATACTTGAAGAAAGATTGATTCAAATAAGATCGATCTTTTTAAAACCACCTCTGGTGGTGGACTTTTAAAGACCGATTGAAGATCAATCTTTCCCGTTTACATTAGACAAAAGAACGATTTTTTTACAAGTGTAAACAGGGTCTATGTAATATACATGTGTATACAACATTGACTGAAAGTTTTAGCATTTAATCAAAAGTCTGCTCTCTTGCCCCTTTCAAATTCATTACTCAATAAAGGAATGAGGTTGAATTGAAAATTCCACACTAAAATGAAAAATGTACACTTTAACATAATTTCAGTCAAGATTTTAGCTATTCTGACTTCAGTACTAAAATGTAATAAAACGTAAAAACACATTCAAATTATTGGACAACAACTGTCTTGGTACAGGCATTTGCTTACGTATACGTAGAAAATGGTGGATTAAAAACAATCTCAACATGGATTAAGGATGTTTACTCCTCTGTTTCAAAATAACAACCTTTTTAAAGACTGTTTTAAATTAAAAGTATACAAATAACAGAACTTTAAAAGCAGAACAAAATTAAAGGTCCATGTTCTTGTTTTTGAGATATTAACAATTAAAAATTGGGTGGGAAATGATTCTCTGTATATTTTTCATGCATTTAACATTGGCACCTTTTTTCTTTGAAAAAACAACAACAGAGATTTTATATGATTTTTAAAAATGGATTTTTAAACTAAAAGAATTAAAATTATGAAAAGAAAGGTAGGGATTATAGTGGGCAAAATGTGTACATGCATTAAATTCATTAATATATCTGACAAAACTTCAGACAATATTAGCAAACATCCTTAAGACAGAGTAATCAAGAGTAATTACTGTGGATTCATTATTTTTTGTTGGATTTCATGGGCACAGATGGACCACAAAATTAAATATTGAACGAATGACAAATTTTCTATAGGCTTGCATGCAGACTTCAGCGAAACTACGAAACTAAACATCCACAAACATGTAAGTTTTTCTTATTCCACGAAAATTAGTACCCACGAAAATAAATGAATCCACAGTAGTTGATTAACACAAACAATGATGATGACAATTGTTTACAGGACAATCAGAGGACCAGAAAACTCTGATTTTGATGGAGGATTAAATCATGGAAGAATAAAAAAACAAAAAAAAACAAGAGAACATACTTAAGATAGAATAACCTAGAATAATAACACAAAATAATGATGATGAAAATCTGTTTTACTTGTTTACAGGATAATTTATTTGAATGGCATTTTACTATTAGAGGACCAGAAAACTCTGATTTTGATGGAGGATTGTATCATGGTAGAATAATACTGCCTCCTGATTATCCAATGAAACCTCCAAATGTTATATTATTGACTGTAAGTACAAGGGTATTTAGCATGTTTAGCAATGAGTATACCGATATGTATAACATGTGTCCCTGCCTTATAAGATCCTTCTCAAGATAGGCCACAATTTTCATTGCATAACAGAATATATACATTTAACTGCAGATCATTCCAATAACATTGGGCTGATTGGCAAATTTCTTCTGCTTAGATCTTACATTTTGAATATTTACTATGCACTTTTAATGCTAAGCATAAAATGTAAAAATGCTTTTAAAGGAGTTCCAATATTTGAGCGTGGGGTGTGTTCTGTTTAAACATGTTAAAATGATAATGTTATGTGAAATACATAGAACTGAATACATAACGATATGTAGTTCTTTTAAGGGCATACGATACAGAAGAGATCCCTCGTTGATTTTTTCTTGAAATTTTGGTAGAAGGTCAATTTCGATGTGTACTTTTGAAATATGCAAAGAAAAATATACCTTCATGACTTACTTTTTGAGATAATTTGGTTTGAAATTTGCATATTTGAAGGGAAAACCCTGAAATTTCATAAAAAAGGACTTTTAAAGAAAGTTACAATACTTTTGAACGAACAGTCATAACTTAACCGGTTTTTTTGTAAAATGTTCCCTTGATCCATGGCATGACCATGCTGTAACAAGTTTAAGGTTAATAAAATTGTTGTTTTCTGAATTTACTTTACTATTAGTGAAATAAAGAAATTGACAATATTTTTGCGTCTATTCAGAAGTGCAGAAAAAAATCGATCGTTGATTTTTTCTTAAAATTTTGGCGGAGTGTTCTTTAAATATTACTTGATTGATTGCAAAAGAAAAAACTGGGGGTCCATGTGCTTGTTTTTTCAATAAAAGCAATAAACCTTGATTTTAATTGCAAACGGGACGTTTGCCCTTTAGGGCGCTAAACTACGTTGAAATAAGTTTTAATCGCAATAACGTCGTAAAATCATTCCCGCCGTTCATGATTACGCTGTAAAGTTCAGTGGTATAGCCAAGTTTTTTTTTTTCGAAAGCAATGATATTATTCATCAAAATTTTTAAAGCTGGTTACTCGTAAAATAGCATAAAATATTTGCCAAACCTTTATGAATTGTTACGAATCTTGGACATGTTGGATACAAAAAGTATTCTAGTAAATTACTTTTAGAAAAGAAATGTTCGGAAACATAAAAAGATAAATTTGATAAAAATAAATATTTCATAATCAAAATATAATAATAACAATAAAAATAAATGGGGAATGTGTCCATGGGACACAGATGATGCCCCCGCTTGCATAAAACGTTATAAAGGGATATAACTCAAGAACTGTAAAAGTGACGCTACCCAAATTTGTACTTGATCTGAGTTTTGCGGTAATAAGCATTGTGCATAAGATTCATAACATTTGGTTGAGGCAAACTAAAATTAGAGAACAGAAACAAATATTTCAGAAATTTTTCCATTTGTTAAGGGGCATAACTCTTGAACGGTAAAAGTGACCCCATCAAAATTCAAACTTGTCATGTCTTCTTTGACTGTCCATGACGTTAAAATACTAAATCCCTGGGATGTGTTTTAGTTGATTTTAGTCTCTGATGCATGATTTTTTATTATTAATTGTTTTGGCTTTAAACTAGCTGTCAGTAACTGCGAGTACTCTCAAATCGTACTTTCTTGTTTATTTGACCTGTTGATACTAATTGTATTGCTTTTTTGTTATTTAATGTTATTCAGGGTTATATCTGGTCTATATACCAGCTTTGATAAGTGTTTGGCATAACTATAAATTTTCACTTCGTACTATGAACATCAAAAATATTTACTTTGTAAAAATATTTCCTTTCTCCATTGGTACTATACACGTATACCTAACAACAAAATTATTTTCATTTACCTGTGTTTAAAGTTAGTGCAAATGGCTGATATTTTTGTTCGAGCATATTGTTTTTCTTTAATTGTTTAACATTTCTTACCGATATAACATGTTACTTTTATTATTCTTCCCTTAGTTTATTTATTTTGTATTTACATTGTGTCATAGGTCAAATTTATTTGTTCAGTGTATGTTCAATGGTGTTAATATGTCCTTTGATTGAGTTAAGCTATTTCAGTTGATATTTTATAGTGTCTTTCTATGTTGTGATGTTACACTATTGTTTCGGAAAAAGGGTGAAGGTTTGGTACCATTAAAACGTTTAAACCCGCTGCATTTGTTTGCACCTGTCCTAAGTCAGGAATCTGATGTTCAGTAGTTGTCGTTTGTTGATGTGGTTCATAAGTTTTTCTCGTTTCTCGTTTTTTATATAGATTAGACCGTTGGTTTTCCCGTTTGAATGGTTTTACACTAGTAATTTTTGGGGCCCTTTATAGCTTACTGTTCGGTGTGAGCCAAGGCTACGTGTTGAAGACCGTACTGTGACCTATAATGGTTTACTTTTATAAATTTTGACTTGGATGGAGAGTTGTCTCATTGGCACTCATACCACATCTTCTTATATCTATTGATCTGTGTTTTGTGGTAATAAGCATTGTGTATAAGTTTCATAACATTTGGTTGAGGCAAACTAAAGTTAGAGAACGGAAACGAAAAATTCAGCAATTTTTTCATTTGTAAAGGGGCATAACTCTAGAATGGTAAAAGTGACGCCACCAAAATTCAAACTTGATCTGTGTTTTGTGGTAATAAGCGTTGTGTATAAGTTTCATAACATTTGGTTGAAGCAAACTAAAGTTAGAGAACGGGAACCAATTTTGGGAAGTACGTACGTACAGACAGACAAGGGTAAAACTTAATTCCCCCTCCGCTACGGCGTTGGCATAAAAAATAATTTGCATCTCAGTCCGACATTAGTCCTTCAACTCATGCAGACAACACAGCTTGGGCATATTTTTAATTATTCAAAAGGTCCCAACATGACAAAATATGAAACAATTATCAAGTAAGTGGGATAATATAAAAGTAAGGACAGTTGGTATGATTGTCAATGAGACAACTATCAACCATATTTCAAATTACGAAGATAAACGCAATTATGGGTCACCGCACGGCCTTCACCAAAAAAAAAAGCCTCACTGTTTAGTCAGCTTTAAAAAGCCCCGACATGAAAATGTGAACAATTCAATCAAGAAAACTATCGGCCTACTATATAGGCATTATATGAACACAAAACCATACCCACATTAACTCGGGTCAGCTTAGAACTACTCTGAACATGTTCAAAAAGGTGTATATTTAGAGCTGTTTCGAGCAAATTCATGTCGTAATTGTCTCAATAAAGTCCATTACGGTGTAGTTTAACATTTCATAGGAAGTACAGCAGTCGGTATTAGATCATGAAATTGCATGATTTTGTATCAATAGATAAGTTGCCTAAGTTTATTTGTCTTCAGGGTATTTTTTTACCCCCGCAACTGAAAGTTGGGTGGCTTATTGGTTTACACCTGTCCGTCTGTCCGTCCGTCATTCCGTCTATAATACGGGGCTTATAACTGTGTCTTTTTTAAACTGACAGTTCTTTTTCATACACATATGTATTCCACTGGGTTAAATTCTAAAAATGCCGTTAAACTTTTTAAGGTACTTATTCAAAGTCAGGTGCAGTATGAGGCGTTGTCTTTATTAATCATGTTATTTTGTCATTTTGTTGATAGTCTCTGTTAAATTTATTTGCACAATTCTCCATACAGTTTTCCAAATGGTGTAGATATTATATATAGATCAAGACAGTACGTTAATATCTAAATTACATTTAATTACTTATTGGTCTTTTTGTTTAGTTGGGTTTCTGTCTCATCGACGTTCGACGTATCATTATTTGCATATCTGTTATTAATTTCCTATATGAAATAAAACATATCCAAGAGTATGAATGTGGATTTAATTTTTTTTTTTCACATTTCAAGTTAATACTGTTGACCTCAATATTAATGAATGAATATAACAATTTTCGTGATATGGCCGATTTTCTTGTCAGGTACTTTTTTTTCAAATTCGCGCAACCGGATTTGTGACGTCACTGGATTTTCCGCAAATGTGACTTCATTTAAAACGACGTCGCGAAATGTAATCGTTCTTATTAGAAACTTCGCGAAATTACAACGTTCTGATTAACAACGTCGCGAAAACAACACGAACAGTTTTGAAAACATTATTATCTGCCCCTGCTACTGTATCGTATTCCCTTAAAAGAACTACTAGCAGCTGCTTGTTAATTTTCAAAAAAAATACATATATTGACTAAATTAAACAGCAAGTCAGACAGGGGTAGTACTTGTTCTAGCAAGTTTAATTTTGTTGAATAGGTAACTTATTTTGAAGGTGAGTTATCTCCCATATTTTTTTCAGATTTTTTAAAACTTAAATGTAATAGTCACATTTGTTTTCTTATTGTTATACATTGCTCTAATAGACTGTTTAATTGTCTGTCCTTTATATTCATCTTTACTATATTTGGAAAAATGTAAAATGTTTTAATGAAGTTGTAATCTGAATGACACAATTAGATTTGTAAAACATTCTGCATTTTACTGATAGATGTATACACGTTGTACAGTCAATATTGCACTTTTACACCGACAATAGTAATTGAGGTCTGACTCAGGGTTCTTTATAACCCTCTATATTTTTTTTCATATATATATAAATTCAACATTTAACAATGTTTAAGTAATTTTTATTTAACACGATCAAGAAAAGCAGCTTATTTTATTTGATTGAATATTTCAGCCAAATGGGCGATTTGAAACTAATAAGAAGATATGTCTGAGTATATCTGGACATCATCCAGAGTCATGGCAACCATCTTGGTCTAGTAAGTAATAAGTTTTAAATTATATAGAAGTGTTATAAAGTTGAACGTTTGTCTTAGAACTTTTACTGCTGATGCTGAAAAACCTCTTATGCAAAATAGTTATATATTTTTTATATTCATATTCAATTTGACACTTTCTACCTGCAAGAACATTTTCATAAGATAAGAACACAATCATCAACCATCCTTATGATAAGTAAGATATGATCTGGTTTTCACTGTCCATCAAACCAAAAGGGAACAATAAATCTATCATGTCTAGGTTTAGATAACATGTCTAATTCTAATAATAAGATTTCACTGTAATTTACACATTGCTTTATTTTTTTAACAGTAAGGACTGCCTTATTAGCCATCATAGGTTTTATGCCTACACATGGAAGTGGTGCTATAGGATCATTGGATTACCCACCAGAGGAAAGAAAGAAATTAGCAAAAAGGTATATATAATTTGCCTGATTTATACATTACATGGAAAACATATGTTCAATAGGTATTAATACATTTCAGTAAGATTCTGAGAATGAAAAAAAATTGTGATGTGAAAATCTATTGTGCAAACAATACAAGATTACTTAGCAGAATGGGAGATAACTCATTCAAACATTCTGTCCTGAGGAAAGTCAGAATATAAAAGCTTAGTGTATGACACATATTTCTGTTTAAAAAAAGCTTTCCATCAGTTAAGCTCACAGCATTTTTTTAAATGCAACAAGGTTAGATAGCACTTGAGATATTCAAATATGTTATTTATCCCTATTATAGCTCTATCTTTTTTAAATCATTGGTTTTCCTGTTTGAATGGCTATTGAAGTTCAATGTACATCTAAATCTTCTTTTGAAAATAAGACTGTTTGAATAGTTTTACACTAGTCATTTTTGGGGCCCTTTATAGCTTGCTGTTCGGTGTGAACCAAGGCTCCGTGTTGAAGGTTGACTTTGACCTATAATGGTTTACTTTATCAAATTGTGACTTGGATGGAGAGTTATCTCATTGGCACTCATACCACATCTTCTTATATCTAAATATATGTATATATCAGACATTGCTTTAAAAAAACCTTAAGTGTCATAGGAATGAAACTGCACTGTCTTAAGCAAGGATCAGGAATTTTATCACACGATGTCTGTCATTTAAATAGGATTCAGATTATCATACATTACAGGAGTCATAGTTTTCAGGAAAAGCATTAATTGCAAACAGTAATTAGTGCTTAATCGAAATTAAAAAACCTGATCTCAATGAAATGACTGAAATTATTTCTGTACAATTTTTATTTGATAATCTAGACTAAATCCATGTTGCCATGTCAGTCATTGGTATTTCAGATAAGTTCTTGACTGACAATTATGATTGTTTCCATCATAAACATAGGGTGATGAAATGAAAAATCCACAACCTACAGCAAGATAAAGATTGCCTTTAATCATAGCTGAACATTTCCTACAGCAAGATGACGATTGCTTTTGATCATAGCAGAACACATTGATATGGCTATTAAAGTAAAAGACACAGATACTGTTTTATTGATTACTGCTTTTATTGTATTTTAAACTATTCAGTGAATTTATTTTTCAGAACATTAGACTGGAAGTGTGAGAACTGTGGCAATATAGCCGCCATCCTGAAACCAGTGACGGAGGCTTCTAAAGCGGCTAATGAAGAGGCTAAAGAATTAGCATCACAGATAAACTTTAGGGTACATATTACAAAACTATTATTCCATCCCAACTACAGATAAGCAGCTTTAAAACTTTAAGATACTAAAATATAAGACCTGAGGTTATTTAAATAGAGAGAAATAAGTCTTATCAAATAATAAAAAAGTTAGCAATATATCTTGAACTTATTATGACTTTGGTCTTACCAGTCACTACAAGGTCTTTGTTGATGAACTAAAAAGCTTAGACTTTATGATAAGGTTAAGATGTATATAGTATAATTGTTACTAGTATTCTGATATTCGTCACCATTGCAATAGAACATATTTACATTTCAGTCAGTATTAGTTGAGATTTTTCTGGTAAAAGGGAGATAATCTATTTTAACCAAGTTTCATTTCTCATAATGAGATTTACAAATGCATGATATACTGATACTTACTTATGTACAGTATAAATATAGCAAGTAAGTAAGTTAATGGCTCCAATATACTAAACAAAAAGTGATATAAGCCCTAAGTGGCTCTATAAAAGAACTATACATATACATGTACACAAGCACTGAATAAGCAAAAACTTAAAGCATGCAGCATAATAAAAAGCAATGATTTAGTTATAAAGTTAACAAAAACAAAATAAATAGCATAGCAAATGAATTAAGTACCTGAATCAGCACTGTAAGTAGCCAAAAAAATCTATGAAATTAATAGCTTATATCTTTGCAAAATATCAGTAATTACAAGCAAAACAAAATCAATCAGGAAGAAGGCAAAATCAAGATTCAAACCAAAATTTTTTTATGTTGGGAGAAGCTAGAAACAGATCAGCTGTGAGGCAGCACTGGTTTGAATTCGCATGCTTTACAATTACATTTTTGACAGCCACACCAGATGTCCCTTCTGCCATCTGAAGTTGATTGCATTAGAAGATTTTATTTAGTTTTTTCAGCTTTAACTATTAGGGAATATTATATTTGTTTATAAAAAGTTCAAAACTCATGGTTTGGATTATTTTCTTCTAAAAGAATAAAATTTTACTGCCATTTTGTTTTTGGTCTGGATACTGTAGGTAAGGATTGGTAAGATAAGAAAATCAGCTCTTTACTGAAAAAAGTTTGTATCAAATTGATTTACCATCTTTGATATTAATGTATATTGACAAGACTGTTTATATTTACAGGGTGAAAAATCAGCCTCAGACAACAAGCCTGCAGAGGAAACAGCTTCAAGTTCTACAGCCTCAGCACCAGTTACCACAGCTACAAGTTCTACAGCCTCCACACCTATAACTACTCCTCCAAATACACCTGTTTATCCAGCTTTTCCAAACATGCCTGCACAGTTTCCTTTCCCAGCATTTCCGTTTCCTCAACAATTTCCTAACATGGCAAACTCTCCACAACAACAGCAACAGCAGCAAGGATCAAATTTTGTACCCAGGTTTCCTTTTCCTCCAACATTTCTACCATCAATGTTTGCCCAAATGAGAATGTCTGCAGGAAATCCTTTTATTGCTGCAAATCAAACTTCTGGATTCCGAAGTCCTTTTCTGAATAACAGTGCTGCTCCTAATTCATTATCAAGTTCTCAGACAACAAATAATTCAGACAATACACCCAATACACAATCAGTGCCAAGCTCGAATGCAGGAGCAAATATAACCAGTTCAAATCCTGCCTCTGGTTTGGAGAATGATCAAATTGAAAGTTCTACAGCCTCATCTTTAGAAATAGATAGAGGTGAACAGGCTGTTGCTCCTCCTGCGACTGAATCAAACACAAGTACAGCTGGATTAAGACAAAGAAACATTGATTCTCACCCTGTACGTCCTCAGCAAGGTCCTAGTCATGTGCAGTATGCAGAACTTGAACCTGAACCAGAACATTCTGTATCAGTACTATCTACTATACTTATCGTTATATTATTGATAGGTATAGTTCTATTATTACTGAGGAGGCTTTACCTCCAAAGGATGTGGAGAATGCCATTTTGAGTGTTAATAGAAATCAAATATAATTGAGAATACTAGTATAATAAAACATGAAATCCTATTGTAAAGATTATACATGTTAAGCTTTTATGTTAAGCTTGTTTGTAATAATATTATCTTTTGGATACATTTAAGATTGGTCATTTGGGTGGATTATGAGTAATCATCATCATCATTATGTTTGTTTTCAATCACTGTGTAATATGTTATCAGCAATAGAAAGAAAAAAGCTCCATCTTGTATTTAAACCATTTTATTGATTGCAAAGACAAAAAGAATACGGTTGAACAAACCCTTTTTTGTTCATTTACTTACATTGTATTTTTAATCTTCTGTTGAGGGAAATCATCTTAACATGCTAAATGCCACAATCAAACAATGAAATCATAAAAATATGTTATGATAGTTTCTTGTCATCTTTCTTTTTTTCAAAATTACATGTGTCGAAATTGTTTATTGTTTTCAGCTACTTTTTATTGTACCTTTCTAATTTTTGCTGATGATACCTTTCCAATTTTATTTTCAGAGAAATTATGTTAATGTGCTTGTTTATCTTTTATCCTCTCTCTTTGACCATGTGGACACCTCTTTTCTATTCAAGCAAATGTAAGTTGCAATATGACAAGGTATGATTTTATTTACTACAAATTGACCAAGGATTAAGAATAAAGCAAAACAAGAGTTCTGTAAATCTTACAACTAATAATGTTCTAAAGACAGTATCCAGAGCAAAATTATGAATATTTTATGTTTCATTTTTCAATATTTTACTGACAAACAAACTATTTTTTGTAGTCAACATTACAATGGTCAAACCTTTGTGTAATGTATGAAAATTTTACAGAAGCCTTTCTATGATTGAGTGATATCATCGAAAGCAAAATTTTAATAATATACTGTAAATTCAGAAATTATTGCGAGGTTTTTATTATTGCGACAAATGCGACAGAGTTGTAAACGCAATAATTTAAACTCGCATTTTGAAATATTTTATATGAACTAAACAGGATTTTTCTCGAAATCGTAAAAATTAAAATCGCATTTAAGTCTAAAATGACAAAATCGCAATAATAAATGCACGCAATAATTTCTGAATTTACAGTATATAAAAAAAAATCTTTAAATTTAGTGCAAGATGGACTTTTGCAGTTAATATTTACATACTTCTAGGGTTAAATTTTCATATCAATAATTTTGTTCGACCTCCATGGAATATTAAAAAACTTGGACAGAAGCATCTTCATTAACAAAAAATAGCATTTGTAGATAAGAATTTTTTTTTTATTACATTTCAGTATATTACTGATAGTGGCTTTAATGTGTTGCCTGACAGAGAAGATTAGCGACAGAGAGAGCGAGCACTTCTGTGGTCTTAGTTGTCCACTTTATCATTCTGGTCAACTTTCAAATTCAGAAATAACAAATTATTTGGTATTTTTTGTACAGGAATTGATTGTTTTGCTTCCAAGATTTCATGGTTCTCAATATTTCTTTACCTTTAGCATTTCTTTTTGCACTTTAAACAAGTGAAAATATGTTAATTAACAAAGTAAGAAATAAGACAAAAAAATTAAATGATGAAATTGTCAAAACACTCAACTGTCTAAAATGGTGATAGAATTTACTTGTAACTTCATTAAAAAGGATTTTGATTGTTATGTTGTTCTTAACTGATGAGAGGGGCCTCAGTAGCTAAGTGGTCTAAGTAGTTTACAGTTTCTACTGTGTCACTAGCCTGTCAACACTGAATAGTGAGGTTGAACCCTGCAAGTCACAGGTGTATTCGACCTCAATCTTAATTGAATAGGATTACCGGTTTTCCTGTGTAGGGTCAGTGGTTCTCTCTGGCTCTCTGGCTTCCTCCATAAAAAAAACTGGCCTCCACAAAATAGTTAGAAGTGCTGAAAGTGGCATTAAACACCAAATAATTAATCAATCTTCACTGAAGTAGGCAGATGCTGTTTAGATAAGCCTTTAACTTGTTTGTTTTATTGATGTTTTTAAAAAATATATTATAGAATCATTGAAGTTAGAATCATATGACTAATATGAAATTGAAGTTTATCTTAATATGGAAGATTTAGCAGGCTTCAGTTGAAAAATGTCACATACAATGACAGATTTGAGTATATATAGTGCTTCTGAAAATGTTACCATGTGTTAATTTTGTTTTTATAATTGTTAAATTATTTTGGTTGTAACTTAAATAAAAGGTGAAAAGTAAATAGTTATTTTTCTTGAAGATTTGTTTTACTGGTTTGTGTTAATCAATGAAACATGAAAAGTCAATGTTCTTCAATTGAAATAAAGAAGGTAGTTATATATTTTTTTTTTTTAAATATTGATTGTTTATTATTTCCTTTTACTGTCTAATTGGTTTTCTTTATGGACATGGGAGGATTAAGAGCCTGAATTTTCTAGTCCCCTATATATGGCTGAAGACTGTATATTGCCCTCTAGATGTCTTTTGGTTATTCTCTTTGTTGGGTTGCTGTCTCATTGATGTAGCATATGTACTTTTTGGTCATAAATGGGTATTCTCTGTTCATAGTAATCTTGTAATCACCATGGATATTAAGTTAACTACCTAAATTTTAATAGTGATCTTTGTTGACTGGTTGACCATGGGGTTGTTTATACATTATAAGAAACCATAATGTACAAATGGACATCAATTGTGTATCAATTCATGCAAAAAATGATGGTTATCCTAATAAATATATCCTATAGTCAATCAAATATCTACCAGAACTTTAATTTTTGAACAGTTGATTGGATATGCATGACTTTGATGTGCCCTTTGAATCTCAATCTATTTTGGTGTTGCCAAATCTTGAACGTGACATGTAAAGATGTGGTATGAGTGCCAATGAGAAAACTCTCCATATGTATGCTGAATCAAACCTTTAGAATTTGGATATTGGGCCATACTAGGTAAAAGTCCAATTTCAGATTTTTGGAAAATGACGCAGTCAATTTTCCTATACCGCTTCCAGGGCCGCTTTCTGAACTTGGTTCCGTATTTTACATACTTATGTACTATACAGAATTTCATTCTTAACCTGTCCATATGTTTATTGTTATTAAATGGTATTTTGAGCTATCCCTTTGGTATATTTTTCATATTTATACAAGTTTTCGCTTTTATGTGCATGTCTTTACAATCTGTAAAAAAATCATAATATCCGTTTTTTCATGGTTTTGGACTTTTTACATACAAATGATAACCAATCGCTAGACAAAATAGTTCTTGAAAGAATGTCAACCTTTCTTGTCAGTTGAACTTTAAAATCATTAAAAAAATAATCAGAATCATCTTGAAATCCATACGAAAGATTATGCACTTTATCAAGATTTACGAAGTTTTTAAGAATCGAAAATTAGTAATATGGTTATACCCACGCAGTGCGTATGTATTTTGTTTACAAAGTTATAGCTGCAGACAGTTGAACGACAAACGCCTTACAATCTGACAGATAAAGGTCAATCTGTCGACTCAAAAAGTACCCGTAAGTAAAATGTTCACGCAAATAAACAGAGCCACCTAAATTTTTTTTCTTCGTTGTCTTTGAAAAGGATTTTCTGTTCTGTTGGAAATTAAAACATTAAATTAACTTAAACATAGAATAGTAAGTGTAGAAAACAAATTAAAAGATATATTTTTACATGACTGATTATTCATGATAGGCTGGCAATGTGCGCAATGTCCTTTAATCCAAAATTGAAAATAAGTTTGTTTATGTGGATTCCAATGTTTACATTTTTCCATCAAAACAAAAGCCAACACAATTTGTGTGTCCGCCCATGAATATGCAAATTAATTATTGTTTCGGGTAGCTTATATAATTACATTTACTGTTATATAAGTGGCTATAACGTTACAAAAGTAGGATGTGTTTGGTGTGTACATCTCTGGAATGTTGTGTATTCAATTTTTTATGGTAAAAATCAATGTTATCTTCATTATATTTCCATGCATACACAAGTTATAACAACAAATAATTGTTTATAAAGCTTATAATGTAAACAGACATGTTTAGCTGTCTGTCTTAGCAAAAATTCGTGAAAATAAAGCTGATGGGTTGTTTTATAATTCAAGCACAGCAGACAAACACGTGGTCGTTCATTAATGTTTGTTTACTTAAAATACACGTTGTTGTTACTGCATACTTAGAAATAATCACTATTTTGTTATTATTGTTTAACATCAGATACAATTAGTATTTACAAAGGGATTGTATTGCTTTCAGAGTTATATAATACACCTTGTCTAAGAAATAGGTCTAGCTAGGTCCTTATAAAAAAATGAGGCTATAATGATGTAAATTACCATATTTACATTACAGCTGTATTTTATATCATATATGTACATAGAGAACAACAGATACAATGCACATGGGTTTAATTACCACCCTAGGCATTAATTTTGATAAGTTATATAATACACCTTGCCTAAGAAATAGGTCTAGCTAGGTCCTTATAAAAAAATGAGGCTATAATGATGTAAACTACCATATTTACATTACAGCTGCATTTTATATCATATATGTACATAGTGAACAACAGATAAAATGCACATGGGTTTAATTACCACCTTAGGCATTAATTTTAATAGGTGGCAGCAAATAGGGCAGATTGGCCTATATGTGTGGTGTCACCACATCTTCTCTGTTGTTCCTAAGTCTCAAAATTCTACTAGCCCTGGCTAAGTCCCCAACATCTTTCTTTTCTAAGTATAGATTAGCAGCCCATCTGAGGATTAGTAGTGGAGCACTTTATATATAGTCCAGTGGCTTAGTCCTGTCTTTTTTGTCTCTCTTATTTTCTTATTTATATTATTATTTTTATATTTATTATATTTTCTTGTAAGCCACCAAGCCACAACTCCTCTTTTTCCTATGGTGCCTGAAAACAATGAACATGTTTTGTCCATTGTTTAGGTCTGTAAAGTGACTTATAACTGCCAACAGCCACATTATTTTGACTCTGGTGGATAGTTATCAGACTGTCATCTCATTGGCAATCAGTACCACATCTCCTTATTTTAGTACGGGTTAATTATTTGAAATAAATGACTAACAAACATTAAATCATTTGAAAAAAAGAATTTCTGCAATAATTTATGTTGTCATTTTAAGATTTCAGTTTATATATATATATATATATCAACAATAAAATTTGGTTGTATAAATGGTGTCACTATGTTTGTAATTGTCAAACTAGTATAACAATACTATTGTCTAAATCTAAAGAAATGGATCATGCTTCAAGTAACAGAAATAACAATGTCACTAGGTCACTTGGAACTTATCTCTTAAATAAGGACTATGTGAATGATAGGGGGTGTAAGAGCTTGCTTACTACAGGCTTTTCATAATCATTTTGTTAAATAATTCTACAACGAAGGGGATAGTCTGTTAATGTTTCCTTGACTTAGAATAATGAAATTGCAAGAAAACAAATTCACATATTACTTTGAATATTGTAGATCGTTCAGGTAGTCTTAAGCTATTTCTTAGTTTGTACAACAGAACAACCAGTAGTAATCTTCACTTCACACACACATATATATATCTTGACAAACAAATGAAAAAGCGATAGACATTGAAAAAACAATTCATATCTATTCTATTGTCAGTCAGCCTACCTACCATGAACTGAAAAGTCTCCTAAGATTCAGTAGGTAAACTATGTGAAAATCAAGACTTGCATAAAAAATATCCCAATATTAGAGACAATGGCGTCATTTTTCCTCAGAGCTTTCAGCTCTTTGATTCACTTCTTTGACCACATTCATTCTGTGTCATAAACCTATGATGTGTTAAATATTTAATCACAATTCAAATTCAGAGCTGTATCAAGCTTGAATGTAGTGTTCATACTTACCCCAACTGTTCAGGGTTCGATCTCTGCGGTCGTATCAAGCTACGACCAGTGGAGCATTTTATTACTAGTTATTGGATTTGAACTAGCTGTCAGTAACAGCGAGTATTTTTAGATCTGTACATTGTGTCTTTTTTAAATTTTGAGGATGCATAAATACCCAGCCACGTCCGGTCTGTGTTTTTGTTAGATGTGTTTCTGCTTTGTTTCGATCTGATGAACTGATCCCTTTTTAACTGATTTTTATAGTTTGTTCGTATGATGTACTGTTACACCACTGTCCCAGGATACGAGGAGGGTTGGTGCCTTTAATCATGTATAACCATGCCACATTATATATGTACCTGTCCCAAATCAGGAGCCTGTAATTGAGTGGTTGTCTATTTTGCTGTTTATCACATTTGTTTTTCGCTTATTGTTTTGCATAGTTAGTTTTGTGTTGTGCCGTTACACCACTGTCCCAGTTAAGGGGAGGTTTGCGCCTTCAAACATGTTGAACCCCGCCACATTCTATATGTGCCTGTCCCAAGTCATGAGCCTGTAGTTCAGTGGTTGTCTTTGGTTCATGTTTGTAATATTTGTTTTTCGTAAATTGTGTTTTATTATGAATTAGGCCGTTAGTTTTCTTAATTGAATTGTTTTACATTTTTAATGTTAGGGCTTTTTATAGCTGACTGACCTTAATGTATGGGATTTCCTCATTGTTTAAGACCATATAGTTGCCTACATTTGCTAACATCCACTTGCTTTGAACTTTGAAGGATAGTTAATTGTCTCATTGTCTTACCACATCTCTTAATTTGTAAACAGAACAACGATAGAACTTAAACAATGAGCAAAACCTATACCGTATAGTAACCTATAAAAGTTCAAAGTAAGACTAGAATAATTCAAAAGAGAAAACCAACGTCCATATTTATGCTGAAACGATACATCAAATATGGTAGACAATAGCCAATGAAAATCACTGGATTGCAGCTCCTGACTTTGGAGAGGCACTTACAGAATGTTGCAGTGTTTAACATATTTACCTACTCTTACGCAACAAAAGAATAAACTGATAAAATTAGTTTGAAAGGGTTTACCTAGATGGACACGAAATATAAAAAAAGTCAACAAAGACAAAAGACTAAAAGTCCCGATTAACGATCACTCGTTGTTTATCAAAGACAGTTAAAATCACATCAGCACACAGTTAACGGATGCAGGGTACATGTAAAAATATGAAGTTTGTTTTACAAATTATGATGTAATAATGTACAAGAGGACATCAAAGTTATATTTAGTCTTGCAAGAAATGACGGTTATTCTAATAAATATATCTTGCATGACCTTGTTTTCTCCAGAAAGTTTATATTATTTTTAATTTATCTATCAAGAAAAAAAACCAAAATAGGGAGCAGTACATGTAGTGAACATTTAGCTGGGACTATTAGACTAATATATTATGTCCCATCATTCAGAAAGGCTTTCTGTGTGTACTATATATTGCGATGTTCAAAAATGAAAAGATTATATTGCTAGTTATCAACAATGTAGAAAAAGAAACTTATTAATTTCTTCCAATCTTAATGGAAATCATATTTAGTATGCTGTTTCATATGTATATATAAAACAACTGATGACTGATATTCAATATATATTATATCTAAAACTAGACTTGTGGGATCAATGCCAAAATGACTTGTTCTATTTAAAAGTTTAACTTAGTGTATTGCCAAATATATATCATAATGATATATTGACTAGTATATAAATATTTAAAGTCTTATTTTGTCGGGTTGTCGTCTGATTGGCGTTTCTAAAATATAAGACTTCACATATCACCAACTACTATAGTAATAATTAACATGTTCCAAAATTTGATTAACATAGCCTTTAAAATTTAAATCTATAAAAAATCGTTTTCATTTTTTTTTTAGAGGGTTGAACTGAAAATATTCAGAAATAATTCTTCAACAAAGAATATAATCTGTGCAAGGACTAATACATTCCTAAGACGGTGTGATCAATATTTCATATACGTATTAATTAAGTTATGTCTTCAATGTGATTTTATGCAAACGTTAACCGTGATCGCATGATAAATATAGCACATTATATTCCGGGTCTAATAATATCTTCTAGTTTTTTATTGAAAATCCACAGTTTAAAAAAGAGAAAATAAAAGTAAAATTCGATAACAGTTTGTTAGAAGCAAGGATTTAGGTAGCCACTACGTAAATCCTTGTAAGAAGCAAGTTAAACTTTTAGGTACTTTATAGGACAACGAAATCAATAGTTTGTTAATTTGAACACGTTAAAGGTAAGGAATTAATGACAATAGAGATAATGTTAAAAAACGATATTCATAATAAATATATAAATAACATAAAAGTTTAATTTCACAACCATTTTGAATATAGTTTCTTATCATACGAAATGAAGATCAACATTTAAAGTAATTTAAGACACGTAGATTAAAGACACATTTAATTTTGAAAGCTTAATAAGAAAAGTATTACCAGGAAACAAAAGCAATATAATAATGGCACACTCTCTGTTTTCTATATAAAATTATGATGCATGTGTGTGTATGTTGTGTATGTGATGAAATGATATTAAATCAAAATTGAAATTTAATTGATAATGATGACTTTACGAAATTACAGGATGAGTTCAAGTAAGCTATTAGTAGTTGCTATTGATTTTGGTACGACGTACAGTGGATATGCTTTCTCTTACATAAGCCAAAGGGAACAAGTGTACACATATAATTGGAGTAAAGGTATCACACAGACTCCTAAAACCCCAACCAGCATTTTGTTTACGCCTAGGAGGGACTTCCATTCCTTTGGTTATGAAGCAGAAGAAGAGTACGCAAGGCTATCACAACATAAAGAGAATAGAGACTGGTACTTCTACAAACGGTTTAAACTAACACTGTACAAAAACGAAGTAAGAAACTAATTGAAAACAGATGAATACAAACGACAAAGATTTCGCAGCAAGTTTTGCAAAACAAATGGTATTTAATTAGACGGAACAATCAATGATTAAACGCCTTGTAACTATATAAGTACAATCTTTGTGCTAGTGTAGATCATCTGTTAGTATTAATTTCAACGATATAGTCGTTCCAAAAACTCCTCAGTTCATAGTTATTTTTTTAAAAACATTTCAAGTATGCATGGTGATTTTTCTACCTTTTCAGCTTTTGATGTCTGAAGCTTTGAAAAGTGTTGTTCTTTAATTTAATGCTTGGTGGTGTCTACTGTGTCCAATTTTCACAGCCAAATGTAAATAGTAAAGTAACAAAAATACCGAACTGCAATGGAAATTCAAAACGGCAAGTCCTATATAAAATATCAAAATCAAAAGCTTAAACACATCTAACGAATGGAAAACAACTGTCATATTCCTGACTTGGTACAGGCATTTCCTTATGTAGAAAATGGTGGATTAAACCTGGTTTTATAGCTAGCTAAACCTCTCACGTATTTGACAGTCGCATTGAATTCCATTATATTGACAACAAACCAAACAATCATATTAGGTAAAAACGTCAATTATCGGGGTACAGTAGTCAACATTGAAATATAATCTTAATCACTATAAAAAGAAACTGTGTCAACAAAGAAACACTAAATGGCATATAGAAAAAGTACATAAAAAAAAAATAAAGACAATAATTCAAAATTGACCATTCAATTAAATTACATAAATACATGATAACTGTTTCAATATGATTGATTTATATCATTTCCATGAATTACCAGAAATACTCTGTTACCATACTATGATTTCTCACGTTTAAACTTTTTAATGCTAAATACCGAACGTGACCTATTCCCGAATATGACAGTGTTGCCGAGTTTGAATTCGCATTGCTTTACGACGTGTCTCGGTATTTATACACCCAACATTCATGTATTTATAGTTATGATGTTTCTTTTGTAAGTCAGGTTGGATACCGTGTTATGTCTTATCGTTGGTTGTTTTAAATCATGTTTTTTCGGTACATTTTACCTATGCCTTATTTTTCAGTATAGTCGAGTTACTCGTGGTTCGTCTACAGTGTTTTTGGTTTATGTTGTTTGTTTTCAAGTGTGTTTACTGTTTGGTCTTACATGATCTTGCCTTATATTACAGTTATTTTATTTTTATTTTCTATATGTATGTAAAAGTAAAGTTAAAAAATCAGCTATTTCATTTATATGGTTTTAAGTTTAAAGCAACTATATGCACAGTATATTTTTGTTTATACACAGTTTTGATTTAGAAGAAAAAACCGACATGGTTTGAAAATGCAAACAATAACACCATAACAAACACAATTCCATTTTAATATTCTTGTCAAGATTAGAAAATACATAAACTAACACCATTACAAACTCAATCCCAATTTTATATTCTTGTACGTGTATACAAATAAAAAAAAACTATTTTATTATTTTAGAAATTTACCTGTTATAATATAAACGTCATAAGAAATATGTCACTTTTTGTGGCGTTGATCCATTCATGTGACGCGCAGTTTATACATCGTTTGTGGTGTCCTAGTGTGCTGTCGTAAATTCATGGGAGGTGTCCGTTGTTATTCTGCGGTTTACATGTTGTAATATATTATATTATTCATTCATGTATTTCTCTGTCATGAGAGTTCGTGCGTTTATTTGTACTGTATTCCTGTCACGTAGTGTTGTCATTTTAGAGGTATTTTTAACATTACCATATAAGCGGGAGGTTTGGATAGCCATAAAACCAGGTTCAACCCACCATTTTTTTGAATGTCATATACAAAGTCAGGAATATGGCAGTTGTTTCAAATAAAAAGTTTCTATGTATGTTAGCGTTTGTTTTTATTGCAGTTCAGTGTGTCTGTTGTTCTGTTGTTTTCCTATACTAGTTTCCCTCTTTTTTAGTTTGTAACCCAGATTTGTTTTCGCTGAATCAATTTATTACTATTGAACGGTAGTATAATACTGTTGCCTTTATTTATGGACTAACTGGATCCATGCATACTTGAACTGTTAAGGTAAATGTGACTGCTTGTCATTTTTCAAATACCTGTCTTTATTCTTATTACATAATTCAACCTTGCCTAAATAAATATATTAATTTTATCATTTAAAACAGTGATCGAAGCAGTCATAAGGAAGTTATCCCCATTTGAATATTCCTCCCTTAGCTCAACGTACTGACGTAGATTTTATGCCCAACAAACGCACACATTACGTCAAATAAAACTAAACACTTTTATTGTTTTGTCAGGTCAAACGTTGAATGCATCTCATTTTTAAATTAACGAAATCAAATTAAATAGGTAAGAAACCATTTTATTGTTTAATAATTGTATGATAAAGGGTGGCTTAATGTGACTTAACGTGGAATAATTCCACTGCAAAAAATTATTCTAAAGATGGCATAATATTTAATCATTTTCAGGATTTAAACGAAGAAACGAAGATCAGAGATTACACTGATAAAGAAATGCTAGCCATTGAAGTGTTTAGTGGTGGGATACATTATTTAAAAGACCATTTGTTCACTCATTTTAAAGAACGTATTCCACATTTGCGTGAAGGTGATATTCACTGGGTACTAACAGTTCCAGCCATCTGGGACGAGGCTGCTAAAAAGTTTATGCGCAAATCCGCAGAAAAGGTATGTTATTTATGGGAGTCCATGTGATCTACAGATTAATGTTGGTCGTTTGCTTGATTTTCTGAAAGCAATACATACCGATTTCAAGTTTCATGATAAAAAAGACGGTTACATGTAATTTGTTTTTGGAATTTCCAACAGATTATATATATTCTTCAAAGTGAGTCGAATTGAATAAAAGGCTATAGAGATTTAAACAGATATTCTGAAACAGGACAGGGTTGTTTCGTCACACGAAAAGGGGCCACTCTTTCAACATTGATCCATATTTATCAATTTCAACCGGACCAGACACCTTTCTGTCTTTAGTTTTCTATGTTTTGTTTTGTGTACTATTTGTTTGTCTGTTGGTCTTTTTCTTTTTTAGCCATGGCGTTGTCAGTTTATTTTCAACTTAAGAGTTTGAGTGTCCCTCTTGTATCTTTCTCCTCTCTTTGTCAGCATTGTCAAAGGTTTTGTTATGCAATACTTCTCACAGACGGTTTTTGTGATTAGCAAGTATCAGAGCTTTATAGAATAACGTCTTCATCAACTTTCCTAATCTAGAGCTATGGCCCATTTTTGAAAATATATCTTGTATATGTAACCCCGCCGCATTTTGCGCCTGTTCCAAGTCAGGAGCCTCTAGTCTTTGTCAGTCTTGTATTATTTTTAATTTTAGTTTCTTGTGTACAATTTGGAGTTTAGTATGGCGTTCATTGTCACTGAACTAGTTTATATATTTGTTTAGGGGCCAGCTGAAGGACGCCTCCGGGTGCGGGAATTTCTCGCTGCATTGAAGACCTGTTGGTGACCTTCTGCTGTTGTCTGTTCTATGGTCGGGTTGTTGTCTCTTTGACACATTCCCCATTTCCATTCTCAATTTTATTGTATCTCCTACAATCCAACTTATTTTTACTTGTATTACTACAAAACTTGGTACAAATACGATGTATAAATGGAAACATTCCTGAAAGCACCATCCCATGATATTTAAAATTCTGAAAATTCAATTGAATTTTAGGCATTAAAATCTGATTAGATATCGTTTATCAATCGTTTCTTGTTCAGTAAGCATTCTTTATTCTAAATAAATTTATAAATAAATACTCTTTATAGAAAGTAAAAAAAATATTGAAAACAAATCATTTATCAACATTTAGTTTAATTGTATCAGAAATAAATGTTCACATGAAATTTTTCATGTACATCGCAGTCAAAGAGCTGATTTTTTCAAACTTTAGGCTGGCATACCGGGAAGCAGGTTGACATTAGCATTGGAACCAGAATGCGCCGCACTTTACTGTCAGTTAGGTGCTCCTAGATCAGGCCTTTCACCGATGCAACCTGGAGCCAAATTTTTACTGTTAGACTGTGGAGGTGAGTATTAAGATTCTTTTTCTTGCAAAACAGGCAAAGAACATTATTCTATTTGATGAATGATTCGAAGACTTTATAATTTTTTAACATTTTGTGGAATCATATTTTGTTGTACAACATTAAATACAGAACAGAAAAGTGAATTGTTTTGACGAAAATACATTTAAAGTAGAAAGAGCGAAAGAATTTGAGAAATTTCACACTGATGTTTTTTCTTGACAGAGAATGAAAATTAAATACTAGATTTGCTGCATCTAAAGTTTTTCCCTTGGTTTGATAAGCTCTGTCAATGAAAGGAATGAAAGGATGCGGCCAAAAAGCATTAAAAAGAAGACTAAAAAACGAAAGGAAAATACAACAACAAACAAACATATGAAGAAAAACAAAAAACAGTCCCAAATTAAGGCCAAATTAGGTGTTCATAATGAACACCATAAGCTGTAATACTCATATTCAATATTTATACGAATGTGGATAACTTTTAAAGTCAAGCATACATTAGCAATTATATCCATTGAAAGGCGTACTGATCGAATGGCCAAGGTCTGATGAGGTCGAAAAACAAAGTTGTGCATAAAAACAAATTCAATTACTTCTTTACCCTAGACGTTATCAAAATGTATAATAACTTCAAGAGCAGTAGCAGGAGAACACAATCAAGGATACACATTCTTCAGCAGAGGCTATGTGGTGTTATTAGCTAAATTAAAATACGTGACTGTATTTTCAGGTGGCACTGTTGATATTACAGTTCATGAAGTTCGCTATGACAATTCTTTGAAAGAAATCCACAGGGCGTCGGGAGGACCATGGGGTGGAATAAAAGTTGACGACGCCTTTCAGGAACATTTATTAGAGTTGTTTGGGTTTGAACGTATAGCTTCCCTCCCAAAACATGACGTCATAGAGTTGGAAAGAAGTTTTGAGCTACTGAAGAAAAATGTTAACACCGAAGATAAAAATTACCATATGCAACTTCCTTTGATCTTACGTCAGTCAGCAGATATAGGGATTGGCACCCTAGTTGCTGGAAAACTGCGACTTAGTTCTAAAGTAGTTAAGGGTTTTTTTGAGAGACCAGCTGAACATATATGCCGGAAAATTCAAGAAATATTACTTTCCTTGAGACAACGCGACTTAGATACCATACTTTTGGTTGGAGGATTTGCTGAAAGCAAGTTACTCCAAGAAAAAGTTCAATTGAAATTTCCAACAATGAAAGTGTTAAAACCGAATGAGCCTAGCGCAGCTGTCATTAAAGGTGCTGTTGAATTCGGTCACTGTCCAGAGAAGGTTCGTTACCGTATGTCTCCTTATACATATGGTGTTAATATAGTTACCCCTTTCCGCCATGGGAAAGATCCTATCAGCAAGTACATGGAAATTGACCGCGAGGCGTATTGTGACGATATTTTTGACATTCATGTGAAGAAAAACCAGTCGGTTGAAACAGGCACTGAAATATCAAACGAGGACTACCACCCAATGACACAAGGACAAACAAATATGAACTTCAAAGTTGTAACTTCCGATTCATTAAGCCCCACATATATCGATGACCCGGGAAACAGAATCATAGGGAGCTTTGATGTTCGAATTCCTCATGCCTTTGCTAGTATGGAAAGATATGTAAATGTTAAGATGATATTTCGCGGTACAGAACTTGAAGTTGAGGCAAAAGATGCGCATACTAAGCAAAAATATAAGTCTTCATTTAGATTTGAATAACAAGACTAACCTATCTTTCACCTATAATTATGGACATATTCTATTTTCAAAATATTGACATATGTGTTTTTTCTTTTCTTTTTTTGCTGTTGTTGTAATAAATTGTCTTGAGTAAATGCTCTTTTTTTGTTTTTAACTTATTTTCACTTATTTGATGTGTACTTGCTCTTATCCCTACGATATTACAATAACAGTAGTTTACATATGCTGCGACCCAAAAACTAAGAATAGAGGGCCAGCATATATAAACTACTGTTTTATTATTATTGTAATACTGTATGGATTAGAACATAAACACATCAAATAAATGAAAATAAATTATAAAAAAATGAATAAACTGCTTTAGCAATTTGTGCTGTTATTTGCTGGCTAATCTGTGTACACCCACGACTCGATTTATTTATTTATATCATCTAAATTAAATATATATCTGAGTTTGACTCACTCTGTCAGTCTTTCTTACGGAATTCAATTGACGAAAAGTTTTATTCTTTGTACGCCCGATGACTAGAATCCATCTTGTAAGTTTATGATAGACACGAAGGATAAAATATGTTGTTTAAATACTTATTGTTACATCAACTATCAAAATGAATCAAATACAAGTGTTTTCATTATTCGACCGATCAGATCATTTAATATATGTATATACATGAATTGACTAATTTGTGTCTTACTTGTGTCAATAATCTGACTTATTAGTAATATATCTTTTTCTTTTAAGAACCACCTCGATGTGCTCTCGATCGCCTACAGGGCGGTAGGTCGTCGGTTAGATCTTCGGCCAGGTCAAACCAAAGACGTCAAAACTGATATTTACTAGTTTCTTGCCAAGAATACATTATTTAGGAGTAAGAGCATGAACTGGTCGACTTTAAGCCTGAATAATGTGTCATAGTAAGTTGATATGTGTTCATGCAGACTGTTATCAAGTGATCTAGCACCTTAACACTCCAACTCAGCAAGTCGGTCTAGTACAAAGCAGGGTTCATATTCATATTGAATTGATCATTATATATGTAGGACTCGAAAGTGCGATGGTACTCTAAAGTGCGATGTGTCACAAAATACTGTATTTCCTGTTAAATTAATTTTTAACAATTCGGGCGTATTAAATATTTGGATAATTGGTGTAGCTTGCCGCTCACACAGTCTATCAATAATTTGAACACCCCCTCCCCCTTCCTTTTACAGTCGTCATTGTAAATGACAAATACAAAATGCGTTCATTGTCGGAATAAGTAACATTTATTTGTACAAGGCGTGAAGCTTTTAATTTAAATGCAAGACAAATGCGATATTCGCCTAGCTTTCTCTTTTTTCGTAACGAACAAATACATGTTATAATTTCCTACAATGTACAAACTACGTTTTAGCCGACAATATATAATTTACGCTTAAAAACATGTACCTTTATTTTACCGATGTTACTTTTCAAAAAATCGACAATATTTTAACGGGGACCACAAAATAAACTGCAACGTAAACAATGATTTAAATGTATCCGTTCGCTTCCAATAGAATAAAATTGAGAATGGAAATGGGGAATGTATCAAAGAGACAACAACCCGACCATAGAGCAGACAACAGTCGAAGGCCACCAATGGGTCTTCAATGCAGCGAGAAACTCCCGCACCCGGAGACGTCCTTCAGCTGGCCCCTAAACAAATATGTATACTAGTTCAGTGATAATGGACGTCATACTAAACTCCAAATTATACACAAGAAACTAAAATTAAAAATGATACAAGACTAACAAAGGCCAGAGGCTCCTGACTTGGGACAGGCGCAAATATGCGGCGGGGTTAAACATGTTTTTTGAGATCTCAACCCTCCCCCTATACCTGTTGCCAATGTAGAAAAAACAAACATACAACAGTACGCACAGTAAAACTCAGTTTAAGAGAAGTCCGAGTCCGATGTCAGAATAGGAAACAAAAGAAAATAAACAAAATGACAATAATACATTAATGAACAAAGGACTACTAGCAGTTACTGACATGCCAGCTCCAGACCTCAATTAAACTGATTGAAAGATTATGTCTTCATCATATGAAAATCAAGTACAATCCCTCCCGTTAGGGATTTAGTATCATACCATCATAAAATATATGAGAAGAACATAACCCGTACCATGCCAACAACTGGTTTTAGAATAAATGTGTTTAATTCCGATGCAAAGACCCTATAAGTGAATCAATGTTAAAGCCAAAATATGCAATATTTAATGATCTGACAACAGTATCGTAACTATATCCCTTCTTAATAAGTCTGTTTAAAGATTTTGTCAGCTTTTGGGGTGAATACTGACATTGTTGGGCTTTGTAAAGAATATTACCATAAAAGATTGGATGTGAAATACCCGAACGTATAAGATGTGTATAAGCAGGATACAGGATACCTATGCGTATACTACTTCTATATAGTAAAATGGTCGACTACAGGACACAAGTCCTTCTTCCAGCATCCGAAAAAAAACACATTTGCTTCAGCCGACAAAGCACGGTTAGGTCTGAAATTAAGTCAGGGACATTCGGTTTAAAAGTTGTCAATCAAATATTCTTAATTTATCTTCCGGCATATTCATTTTTGGTTTGTATACACGACTGTTAACGTCATAATCCAACTACGTTTCTTACGTCTATACTTTCGCGGACCATCGAAATTTAGCGTATGGAGGCATCGCACTTTAGCGCAGACCATCGCACTTTAGCGTGACCATCGTACTTTAGCGTCCCCATCGCACTTTAGAGTCCTCCATATATTCTCGTCATGATATGCATGTGCTATATGTAAATGGACGTGTATTATCAATGCATCATCATTTTATACTTCTTTATAGTTTCGAAGATCAATGTTTCGATGGGTCACTGTAAAATTCTTTGTTTTTTTCTTCGATATTATTTTTTAATTCTTTATTTTCACATCTGAAACATCATAGAACTACTTGTGGAAATTATATAATATTTAAATAGAATATAAATTGTATCGGAGACATATATTTAAAGTCTGTTTGAGTTCTTTAAATATTTATAAAAAAAACAATGAAAGAAAAATCAGAATAACGTGTTTTTAATTACATTATCTATTTTGCAGTATATCTTTATCTTTAAATTCAATTAATTGAGGCCATCTATATAATTTTTTTGCTTCGGTAAGAAGTTGCAAAACATACAAATTTTTTTAAGCAACAGGCTACATACTTACCAATAACTTTTTGTGCTTATTGGATGACAGGCTTTATTGTTTAATAAAAACAAACCTGCCGTAATAATTGAAATTTGACATGACTTTGCTGCAAAGATCGAAGTTACAATCTAGACGAGTAATTATACATTCTAGTGTCATTAAATATTACTTAAAGATGTGATATATAATAGCAAACCAGAGAACACCCAACAAATTCAATAAACCAGTAAAGACATAGATCTGGATGTCTCTATACAGTCATCAACAAATGTCAACAACACGTTTTGGTTTAAATAGCCCTTAGACTGACTAGAGCAATCATTTGTTGATCGGAAGAATACATGACTATTAACACACAAGGAAGATGTCTGAATATTTAATATCAAATTAAGAGTACTTGATGACGCCATGTCAGGAAACACATTGTATTAAAATAGATGTTATACTTTTATATTACAAAAAAAGTAGGCATTTGAAGTATCGAGTTAAACTGTCCGCAAGGATTCTATCCCTTCTGTAGTAATTATCGGGGTATTGATGTGGTTTAAATGTACGATTTGGGGTTACAATAATTATTATGCATTTTTGTGGTTCTCTTTACTACAATTACACACAATCTTAACAAATAGAAGTGTTATTAGTAGTTTAAATGATCTTTTGAAATCTGATTGCCAATTTATTTGCTGCATCTCATATACAGCCTAAAGTTTTTTCCGTGATGAAAATGGTAAATGTTCCCGATAAGCCTACCATGCTTACAGGAACTGCTATTAGAGTATTCAAATTTTTTTGTATTCTTGTCTTTCGTTTTTGCTAATGTGCTTTGTCGATATGCCTTTTTGTTTATCTTTGTTGACATATTGCTCCTTTTTATAGTGATTAAGATAATAACACAATTTTGGCTGCTTTACCCCTATTTTTGACATTTTCACTTTTTTTTATATGTCTGTGTGTTTTGTGCACACATTGTTGTCAATATAATGAAATTTTATGCGACTATCATATAAGTGAGAGGTTTAGTAAGCTATAAAAATAGGTAGTTTTTTACTGTTTGTATATATTCCTTTTGCCCTAATTGCGCTCCTAAAATATAAGATTTGTTCTTGTATTGTTATGAATCACAGTGTATAGCAAAGCTCAGTAAAGATCTGTCTAATATTCCAATGAATTTAAACGTTTAATAACACTTACCGTTACCTTGAAGAAATCTTTCTTTTTAATAACAATTTTCTATAAAAAATGTGAAAGGAATAATTATAAGAATAAGGAGACGTGAAATGATTGTCAATGGTATATGATGTCTCATTAACAATCATATACCAAAGTCCAACTGGGGTGGATGTAAGCAAAAATAAGTCACTGTACGGCTATCAACAATCCGCAAAGCATTACCGTATAGTCGGCTATTGAAGGTCGCGCTATGACAAAACGTTTCAGATCCACTCAAATTTTGAAGAAGATGGCCGATGTTTAACATGTAATTGTACAATACTGTATGCCATAACCATTTAATGTAAATGTGTTTGTGATAATAAATATTGTCTATTGTGTATTGTAAAGATACCATTTAAAACGTCTATAGAAATATTTCAGATCAGTACAATTTACTTCACACAAGAAATATGACAGATTGATTAAAATACTTCATTCGTTGTTAGCGGACTGGTTTACTATCAACTAGGTTTCTTTTTTCATATAAACCGAAAACGATGATTGAATTTGTTGTACCTAACTATATATTGTATAATTTGGGATTTTTGATGGTACTTGTAAAGTAAAAGGTATTGACATTCTGACAGTTAAGTAAGTAAGTAAATTCATACGATTATATCACAAAAACTTCAAAGATACGAGTTTTAATTTATTGAACATTCTTGTATCGTATTGATTTTTTGTCGTGTATGTGTATCTGTTGCTATTGTATGAT